GCTGAAGATTGATGTCTGGTTCTGGTTGTTGGTGGGGTCTGCTGAACGCCTGGTCAAAAAGTTGGTTGAGTGTGTATTCGGAGGATTGGCCGAACTCGTATTGCTGGTGATGTGCTGGTCGATCGTCTGGGTCGACAATGTATATAGGTCGGAGGCCGTATTCGACTGAGTTGAGCTTCGGGGAGTCTGGTTGTTGCTGGAAATTATAGAAGTCCGGTGCGGAGGCGAACGGTGTGGTCGAGGTAGAAGCTGATACTGGTGTCGAAAACAATGTGCCGAGGACTGCTGGTGAAGCTGTCGGTACAGTCCAGGAGAAATAAGTTCTTGGGTCGGTCTGTCCTTGGAAGAGTGGATTGTGGAAGCTGTGCTGGGGAGTGTGCTGAACTTCTGGCTGGGTTTCTGGCGGGTTCTCCGGTGCTGCAGTCGGAGAAGCAGGTGGTGTCCTAAAATTCTGGTAGCCTTCTAAAACCCTTCCGGCATCTTCGCCGGCTGCAATTTTGGGAAACAATTCATCAGTAATGTACCTTTCTCTTTCAGAAACTTGTACAAAGTGGGACCACTGGGTGGCTTTTTCTTTTCTCTCTTTCTCTAGTCTCTTCAACTCTCGCTGGAGGTATCGTTGAAGTCTTTCGGTGTCTTCTTGTTGTTTGCTGGCTGCTTTCCTCGGTTTGTTCATGCGGCTCTCTACGGCCGTGGGTTCTTGTACACTAAAATTATCTTGGATGTTGGTATCTCGGGGATGAAGGTCTTCATCAAACTCTTAACTTGGTTGTCGGTGATGTTGTCGGGTATCTGGCTGAATGTCGAATCGGTGTCGACGATAATCTCAAGGCTCCGGAAATATCTTCGGGCCTGCAGCTTCGAAGCTAGTCTTCTATTGTAGAATCTTCTAAGGGTTACTATGCTAGTAGGAGGATGCCATCAGTCAATTGAACAAAGTGTGTTGCCGGAAGAAGGTCGCGAGTCTTCTGCCGGATGATTTCTTGGAGCTCGTCGGGGAGTTGACTGATTCGGTGTAGCAGTGATTGGAGAGCTGTCATGCAGGTCGGTCGAAGAAGTTGTCTGGATGTTGTCCGGGCTGGTGTTCGGGCACTCAGAGGAAAACTCGTCCAGAAGTGGGTAGCAGTCGTACTCCAGGAGTTTCTTCTTCGTTTCTTTCTTCGGCTTGGGCTTGTTGGTGGAGTTTCCAATCGATTTGTCGTGACGAGGTGCTGAGTGCAGGCTGGTCTTCCAGGTGCCGGTGCCGAGATGAAGCTCGACGAAGAGTTTCGGATAGTCGGACTGGTTGGGGTGATCAGACCCAATTTCGTCGTCAATGGTCTCTAGGCCAGCGTACTCGATGGCGTGGTCGAACAGAGTCTTGGCAGCGTGGAGATTAGCGTCGTGTCGTCGTCGGATGATGTCTTCGGTGCTGGTTTGGGCGCTCAGTCGGAGAGTCTGTCGGAAGATTGTTGGTGCATTCGGGAGCTTTCCTTCGGTGACTTGGGCGATGCCGGGATAGAGTGTCGGAGGCTCGTCGTAGGAAAACGTGCGGCTGATGTGTGGAAGAAGCGTTGGTCGGGAAGATCTGTTGCCGGAATTCTTGCTGTTCTGTTGTCTGGTCGGTAAAGCAGAGTTGTTGTCGGAGAAGAGTTCGGAGGCTCTGCCGGCGAGTTCTCTGGCTTGCAGCCGGTGTTCTTCTGCTCGAATTCGGAGTTGGGCTCTCAGATTGCTGGTCGGAGAAGATCTCGGAGGAGATGCTCGGGCTTGCTGTCGGTTCCTCGGTGCTGGCCGGTGAAGAGTTCGGTGCTGATGTTGGGGTTGATCGCAAAGGTCTTCTTCTCCTCGTTCGGATAGAGCGCTAGGAGGTCTCGTTGAAAGATCTTTAATTTCTTCGAAAATTTGCTGGTGTAGTTTTCTTCCTCTAGTGGTCGCTGCAGCAAGGCGTGTTCCGGGTACCCATGTTGGTGGTGGCATACTCGATGTGGAGAGAAAGAGTGGTTCTTGAAGTTCTTGAATCTCTGCAAACAAGAAAATTTCGAAAAATGCAAATAGTTACCGGGTTCTCGTTCCTTGATCTCTCTCAGCGATCCATCCCACCGTGGTCGCCAAATGTTCAATGGGAAAATGTGAGATGGATGAGAATGCTGCTACTGCTAGAACTCGATCTGAGAACTGGCGCCTGATCTCCAGAGGTCGCCAGCTGAGGAGGGGTGAAAGAAGTGGTGGATCGGCGGGGAGAGAGACTCAAGTCAAAGATAATGCAAATAGGGGATGCGATTCAGGAGTCTTGAAGTACAATGGAATGGGAAAGGAGATGGGGAACCCTAGCTGCGCTGGGGTCTCTCAAAACCACTCTCCTGTTGGCGGTTCTAACCGCCAGTATATGCCTAGAATAGAGAAAATAAACTAGTAGCCGTTTGAACCTGGCTTTCAGTCGTGAGTGTAGCTGCTCCTGGGCGTGCATGTGTTAGGGGAGGTTTCCAGCAGCAGCCTCCATGATCATGTACCACAGGAACATCGACTTGCCTATCCATGGTGGCCCAGTTACGTGAACATGTGAGCCCTCCCATGCAGCCAGCGCTCTTTCCCGGAAGGCCTTAAAGCACTTACGCACATAGATACCATTCCAGCATGGCGCTCCAATGCTCATCTTGTTCAAAACTCACCACATGTCCACCAGGCTCCGGCCTACTTGTCTGACACTTTCTCCAAAACTCAGTCAATTGTCGAATAGCATCTGCATTCCCACAGCAACAACGCTTAGAAATTAACCCACCCAGGCAACTAAATGACGAACGTCCTTAGGAGCAAGACAAGATACTTGCCAGCAGGGACAACAGGAGCAGCAGCGGTAGCAACTGCAGAAACAGGTGCACACTTATCATGTGAAAAACCATGGCCCCCAATAAAATACTAAAACAAGTACACTTTGTGAACCCAACTGACGTATCAGCAGTCACAACATTGAGAACAATTTAGAGTAAAAACATTAACCAACGAAATTCCCTTCGTACACTTATCAACAAAAACCAGCCGCATCATAAACACACCGACGAGCTATACACACAGGCCACGCAAACACTCGAAGGATAAGATAAGATCATAGCACCTACCAGAAATTCGTTCAAAAAAGGGCCTACATGCTACAGCATGAAGTGTTGTTAGAGGAGGCACTGTCACAGAAACAAATAGTCAGTGCAACGCCATAGCCACGCAAAATCGATGCTTTCACATTCACCTAGTTCGTAGATGTATTTGCCGGCCTCCACACTCTCGTCCAGAAATGCATGCCCGTAAGACATCCAGACCCATAGACCTGGAGCACCACCTTCCTTGGCTCTTGCGGATTGAATCTTTCCTCGCCCAGAACCCTACCATCGGCAGACTTCACGGTAACGCAGGCCATTCATGGTTGAATATCAGCGCGGTTAAAGGCTAGAATATTCGTCTAACTCCTTTTACTCCTTTTTAGGGCCCCCAACTAGGTAGCAAATTTTTGGGTTCCGTCTTAGAACACCAAGGGATGCCCGAGCACACCACCACTTCATCCGGAGGAGGATCGCCGGCGGTAATCATCTCTCTATATTCATCAAGTCATCGCCGTTTGCTTGGCATTGGCAGTACGTCGAGGTGTTTGGGTCAAACGGGCAGACATGGCGATTTGCTGCTGGGACCAAGGCGGGATTTGCCGTGCGGCGAATTCGAAGCAAGCTAGGCGAAGCTGCGCACCACATCCTTTGCATTGCGGCGTTCAAGGAGAACGAAGAGCCCGTGGAGTTTGGCCCCGACGCGGAGCTCGTCGTCTATGGCGATAACTGGAAACTAAAACTTGTCCAAGGTCAGTTACCGCTCCTTCCTTGACAAAACTAACAAGCTCGAATAGATCCAGGGCACAAGGAGATAGATGCCGCTCAAGACACTAAAAGCGCACTCGATGACAATCCTGTCCCGCAACATGCCAAAGTAAGTCCAAACTTCTTCTTCGTTTTCCCTTTGGCTTCTTAACTTGCGCACTTAAGCTGCTACCAACAGATGCACGACTTGATTGCCGAGTTTTATCCCGGAGGCAAAGTTCCCCGAGGCTCCAGGCCAGAATTCTCAAGTGAGTACATTGGCAAGGTCTTGACAGCTCTTGCTTTGGGCTTGCTGCTTGCAGCGGCTCTAATATACTTGCTAGAAATTCTACCACTGCTAGACTGGCAACATTTTAGTAGCGCTAAGTAGTGAAACTCTCTCCCTAGTCACTCATGAACACGTAAATAAGTTGTGGAGGTGAGCTGTTGAGGATTTGGCTTGTGGTGCTTACACCGTTGTTTGCAGCAGCCGAGAAGCGCAAGCGATCGAGGAACTGGAACATTCACGAGGTGCTGCTGCTGGTGCAAGCCAAAAAGGACGAGTGGGAGAGGACCGAGAGCAGCAAGAGCAGCAAGTTCGAGAGCGCGGTGGACAAATGGGTCAAGGTGGTGGAGTTTCTGCGGGAAAATGGGATCATGGACCGGGACCTGGACCAGTGCAGGGGGAAGTGGGACAATCTGCTGTCCGACTTCAAGACGATCAAAGAATGGCACCGCAGCGTCAAGGCAACTCCCTACACATGCCTCACCAAGGAGCAGAAGAAGCAAAACAAGCTGCCCGCCCTGTTTGACACCCGGCTGATTGATCTACTCGAGAGCTTCTATGGCACCCGGTCCAAGTTGATGGTGGCGGAGGATCATCACCAACGACAAAGACAAAGCTACACCGCCACCAACACCAACAGCAACAACATGAGCGCGGTTGAGACAGCTCTGGCCATTGCTGCTTGTGCGACGACTCCGCCATCAGCCACAGCTACTACAGGGCTTGGAGTGCCCCACAAGAAGATCAAATCTAGCACCAGCAGCAGCAAAGACAACAGCAACAACCACATCAGCGTCTCTGGCAGCTGATACATCGGTCTATTCCGGCAGGTATAAACAAACACACGGCAAGATGTTCCACCACCCTGAGAAAGGTGGCGATGGATCACCAAACAACACTAAAAGCTAAACAGGTTCGTTCTTTCGTCATCACCAGAATCACTAACCGTCTTCTACGCTCGCTCTATAGCTTAGATTACAATAACAAGATTGGACGAGTGTATTCCAATCACGAGAGAGACAGGAGAGCTGCCCCAACCACGGCAATAATCGGCACGATCGACAGTAGCTGTGCTCCTGCTGCGGCCGCCGATGACTGGTTGAAATTGGCGTTGCTAGCCTTGGTTCCCAGAACTAGAACGAACCAGGCGTCTTCGTTGGCGATTCCAATGGAGGAAAACTCGGACGAGTTGATGAACCTCTGGTACTCTTGCGAGCGCGTGAAGTTTTGGAAGGCCGTGCCGGCAGCGTCAGAGGAGGCGGGGATGCAGTCGACGAGGACCTGGCCTCCGGTGGTGTTGGCGAGGTCGAGGCGGCAGTCAGCGAGCATGGAGGGGTAGTCGGGGAAATCGGGCGTGAGGCCCGGGGATGTCTGTGCCTCGGTTACGTTGTCGCATGGCGTGTGCTGGAAGTGGTCAGCCAACTTGTCCGCCAGACACGAAGCTCCCGGGTTGGGCGACAGGAGAGGCGCCCCCAAGTTGCTCCGGTACATGTTGATGTCGTTGAGAAGCTGGCTCTCCACCGCATCTGCGCATTACGCGATCATCCATATCATCCAGGAGGCATGAGACCAAAACACCCAAGTTTGAGCTCTTCTAGCGGTAGAAAGAGGGCGTATTGCAAGAAGTAGCGAGCAGATCTAGAGCTTGACAGGAAGAACTTACCGTCCGAGCGAACTCTCAGCAGCGCCAACGAAGAAGCGAGCAGCAGCAGGGGAAGCGCCAATGCAGGTGATGCAAGCGCCATGAATGGATCTCTCCGCGCGCGACGGACGTCCACCACCGACAAGACTACACTATATCGTAGGTAGCCGCGACACAGGAGAGGTGTTCGATTCCTGTTAGAAAAATTACAACATCCACGGTGGCGACGGTGGTGGCGCAGTGGTGGCGGCCGGGTGGTGGTGGTGGTGGTGGTAACTTGGAAGAAGTAAAAAAGTATACTACTAGGTAGCTCTAGCTACATTGGGTGGCCGGCCTTTGAGCTCCACAGAAGGGGAGGCTTGGTGGGCAGCTATGGAGACAATTGTTAGCAAAGCTTGCAGAAATGAGGGTGGCGGAGGGCGACCAGGTGAGGAAGGGAAACGGGAGTGCCCCCACCAGCAAATTCCCATCCAGGAAGAGCCGCCGCAGTGGCTGGATGCCCACCGCCGACTCCACCGCCTTGATCGCGTACTGGAGCGGGATGGTACCGCCCAGCATGTTGCCAGTGAGCGATAGCGACGACAGGCGCGGCAGCTCCGCCAGAAATGGCGGCAGCGGCCCGCGCAGCCTGTTGTGGCTGGCATCCAGCGCCACCATCTTGCTGCCCAGCACCACCAGCGGCATCGCCGCCAGGCCGGGCGTCTGGATCCACTGGAACGCGTTGCCCGCCACATTCACCTGCTGGAGCGAGGGATGGAGGAAGATGGAGTCGGGGAGGGCGCCCCACAGCCCGTTGCGGCTCACGTCCAGCACCTCGAGGGCCGCCATGTCGCCCAAGTTGGAGGGCAGCTGTCCCGACAGGCGGTTGTCGCGGAGGGAGAGGCGGACGAGCGATGGCGGCAAGCGGCCCGGGAACGACCCTGTGATCCTGTTGCTGCTGGCGTCGAGGTACAAGAGGCTGGACATGGCGGGCATGGCGATGGGGAGCTCGCCCGACAGGAGATTGGAGTAGAGGTCGAGACGGCGCAGGGACGAGAGGCGGGAAAGCGAGGCCGGGATGGTGCCGGACAGCGCATTGCGCGCCAGGCCCAGGTGCTCGAGGGAGCGTAGCTCGCCCAGTGACTCCGGGATGCCACCCGAGAAGGCGTTGCCGCTCACGTCCAGGCGGCGGAGGCGTGCCAGCTTCCCCAGCGACGCCGGCAGCGCCCCGGATAGAGCATTCCCGGACACGTCCAGCGCCTGCAATGCAGAGAGGTTGCCGACGAAGGGCGAGAGGAAGCCGCGGTAGCCATAGCCGTCGAGCACGATGCTCGTCACTCGCCTTGGAGGCCGGGTCGAGGCGCCCTCCTCTTGCAGTTCCTCGTCGCAGCGGATGCCGCAGACGAAGGATGTGGATGAGGTAGCGTCGCAGGGATCGTGCGAGAAGTCCCAGCTGCCCAGGCACGACGAGGAATGCAGCGTGGATGGGTCGATGGACGACTTGATCTGCTGCAGCGCTTGGATGTCCACTGCGGCTGTCTTGGCGGCGCACGACGTGGCGATGCTGAGCAACATCACCGATTCTAGAACTAAGCCCAGTGCCACCATCTTCCTCTCGCGACTCTTGTTCTTCGTCCCGGCCAGCATTCCTGTGTTCTAGTTCCTTTGCCAAGCTCGCCGCTAGCCCTACTCACCCGTGAGTTGTGGCGTCCGGTCCGCCCAGTAGCAAATGCAGATGCTTTGCTCGCTAGTGCTTGTTGCTAGACAACTACCGGACAAGGAGAAAGAGAAATGAATGGGAGAAGTGATTGGATCAACACGCATCACCGTGTTTGTAGACAGACATAGCTGGCTGTCACTCACTCACAGATCAAAATCTTATCTGACTACCAGTTTGAGGCAGCCAGCCACAGCCAGCCAGCCAGCCACAAGTCACAGGGAAGTCCGAGAGATAAAAATGCTCGTAAAATGCGAGCGAGTGCTGCTGGCCGCCTCGCTCAGATAAATCGCCATCAACACCTCATCACCTCACGGGCCACTGCTCCATTGCATTCAAGAGTCTTTGCGGTACATTCGTCGTCCATGGCCAGTGGCGCTGCATCATCTGAGAAGATGGAGGGAGCGACGAGAAAGCGGAGGACGAATAAAATCCCTGCATGCTGCTTTGCTATCACTGTGTGCCTGTATGCTGGCCGCTGCCTGGCTGGCGCGTCGCCAAAGGTTCATGTCACCACAAAGTCGCAGCGAGCCGTGGAGAATAGCAAGAGAGGATTGCGCGGCTGCCTGCGCAAGTACAAAGAGGGCTTATGAATCGTCTGACGCAGGGATCAGATCATTCTTTTCTTTTCTCTTCCCCTGCGCGCCGACTTGCAATGCTGCTGCTGCGATTATCCTGGCCGGACAAACGACTTTTGCTGGCTGGCTGGCTCTGCAATAACTTGTCTTGTCCAAGCACACAAGCGTTTGGTGTCATTTTCACGCTTGACCTGGATGGCGGTGGCTGGCTGCCCTGCGAGACAATATTACGCACGAGCAGAGATTTCTGTGGGGAGTATTCCTAAAGGACAGGGAAAGGAGATAGCTACCTTTGTTTGTCATCTAAATCTTTATCGCTTCTCTTTAGGCGATGTTCCTCCCCCGCATTAGAGACTCAATGCTGGCGATGTCGCCAGGGGAATCCACACCGTGTGCATCGTGATCCACCTTGATCACCTGCAGGAAGGAAACAGAAGCGCCGCTAGAGACAAGAACAGGAAGCAAACGAACCTTGATTTTATAGCCATTCTCAATGACTTTGAGCTGCTCCAAATCCTCTTCCAGCTGAAGAGCGGTTGGCGCAATCAGGGGATACATGGACAAAAAGTGTGCGTCATAGCACTGCCATGCAAGACAGACAGAAATTCAGATCGCGGAAGTACAGCATCACCGAGAGAGCTACCTGGATGCCAAGGTGTAGTAAGTAAGGAAACTTGTCGTTGGCCACTCCTTTCCTGTGAAACAGAGAAGACGAAAAGGTCAGGACGACGTACAGGATCCTTGCTTCTCTTCCATACTTGTTGAAAGGTAGCAAACCTCGGGAGAAATATATGGCATAGCCTTGCTTGTCCACAATGCACTTGACCCTGTTCGTGTCCGAGGCATCCTGAGGCTTTAACGACGTGACTGCGGTGCTACACATGGCATCCGGCGAAGCCTGCTGAATGCCATGAATTCAAAGCAAAGCATCTCTTTTGCGTCTACCTTTAACGCCATCACCACCCCGTCGATGATATCCGGATCGATAAGCGGCTCATCGCCTTGGATGTTGACGACGATGTCGAACTTGCGCTTGAGCTTCTTGACAGCCTCGTTGCAGCGCTCGGTTCCTAAGGTTTCACTGCTCAATCGCCTCAAACCCAAAAGAGAGACCTCGGCCTACCGTTGGGACACTTCTCCGACGTCATGACAACCTCCGCGCCAAATTCCTCGCAGCATTGTCGAATCCTTTCGTCGTCGGTGGCCACAACTATGGACACGAGAGGAGAAGTAAATTGCATTGCAAGCATTGTTTCTCTTCTGCCTACCTAGAGCGTCGAGAGTCTTCGCGAGCCTGGCTTGTTCCCAGGTCCTCTATCACCTCACGCATCATGAGATCAAATCCATCTAACTAAAGGCTCTCACCTGGATCATGGGCTTGCCAAGTATGAGAGCCAAGGGCTTGCCTTGGAAGCGCGAGGAAGCATAGCGCGCGGGAATGATCCCAACGACGCGCGACCGGCTCCGCCACCACATTCCTCGCCGCCACGCCATAGCTGCCGCCGCCACCCCTCCCAATACCAGCAAACCCCGCACCATCCAAGATCTGCCACTGTCGCCGCTGCCTTCCATCGCGGCTCGCCCACGAATCACACGACATTGCCCATCTCTCACTCCACTTGAGCTAGATCGCGATCCAGTCAGCGCGCCCAAATTAGGCGTCCGAGCTGGCGTCCAGCGTGGCAGGGCGGGCCAGCAGAAAGGAGAGAGAAGAGAGAAAGAAAGCAAAAATGTGTGTATGTGTGTGTGACACGGACGATCAAGTGCCGTGAGAGGGTGGTCTTGAAGTAGGCGGAGCTTCTTTTCTTTTATTCCTCTTTCTTCTTTCTTCTTGATAGGTCACCGCCCAGCAACAGTGCTGTGTGCTCCTCTCGCGCGACCCCTAATCGTTGGATTCTTGCTGCTACATCCATCCGGGGAGCGATCCAGGCGCGGCAATGGCAAGACCTATACTTTCTTTCTTTTTTCTTTTCTTAGCGGATCGCTGATGTGCTCGCATTTGGATTGATCGATCGCCAGAAGGTCGAGCCGGATGCTTGCGCCAAGTCCATCGCCAGAGTCTGGAAGCCGAGAACGGTCTTGGTCACTGTTTCCTTCGTCATGATCACACTCTTTCTCTGTAGTTTGCTCGTCAGCGACCAATACACCAACGTAAGCAAAGCTCTGATCGTCGACCAAATCGCGTTTTTGCTTATCTTTTTGGCTACAGATCAATGGCATTTGGGATGGCTCCACGCTCATGTTTGTCTCCAGCTCGATCGCATGCCGAGTACGTATCAAATATTTTCCTTTATTCTCAGCCCGCTGGAGCGTGCCTTACCTTACAGAGCAAGAGATGTCCGCGAGGGAGCGAGGCGCTACCACGCGGAATTGTAGAGGCAGCGTCGGACATGGAACTAAAACCACTGTGGAGATCGTCCAAGAAAAAGGTAGCAAGCTATTGCTTTATGAAACACTGTACCTTTCTTTTTTGTGACTGCCTAGGCCTTGCAAAAAAGCTTGTTAGCAATCGCAGCTGGAATCCAGCAGAAACGAGGCGTGGATCAAATCGTTCGAAAAGTACGTTCCTTGGCTTCTTATGCTCAAAGCGAACCATACCTTTTATTTTGGAATTCTAGTTTCCGGTGACGAACTTCACGATAATGCTGTTCCATTACGACGGTGTCGTAGATCGTTGGAGCGATCTTCCCTGGTTCGGCAGTGCCATCCATATTGTGGCCATCAACCAGACAAAGTGGTTCGTTTGCAATTGTCGCTCACAGTCACTCTTTCTTGTTTTGAATATGTTTTTGTGTGCTGCTTGGCTCAGGTGGTTTGCCAAACGGTTCATGCATCCAGATGTTGTTTCGGCGTACGAGTTTATTTTTGTGTGGGATGAAGACCTTGGAGTGGATCACTTCCGAGCAGACAGGTTTCTCGCTAGATTATTATTTGCTTTTGGATTTCAAGACAAGTGATGAGTTTGTTTGCTTCCAGATACCTCGAAATCGTGAGGAAAGAAGGGCTGCAGATATCGCAACCGGCCTTGGATCCATCCCTTTCGTCCGAAGTCCATCATCGAATCACTATCCGGAACAAGAAGACGAGGGTCCACCGGTGAGTATTTGGACAGGAACTTGGTGTGTGGAAAACTCACGCCTTCTCACTTGTTTCCAGGAGGATCTACATGAATCGAGGAAGAGAGTATTGTGGCAACAACAGTACACAACCTCCATGTACAGGGTACTGTCGTTGTAAGAGAGCTGCTGGTATAAACTTTCTTTATTCGTCCGCTGTTTATGTAGGTGGGTGGAGATGATGGCTCCCGTGTTTAGTCGTTCTGCATGGCGATGTGCCTGGCATCTCATTCAGGTACCTCAGCTGGCCATTTAATTTCGTGGGGGACCAGAGAGTAATTTTGATTCCGAAAATGTTGTGCTCCTCTAGAACGACCTCGTTCATGGATGGGGCATGGATATGAAGCTCGGCTACTGTGCGGAGGTCTGTCGCAGTAAATGTGGTTGTTTGTGATTCTCAAGAGCGTTTTCCAGGGCGATCCAACTAGGAATGTTGGCGTTGTCGACACTCAGTATCTCATACACCGCGGCATTCCATCGCTCGGTGGTGGAGTCATCCCCATAAACAAGGTCAGAATCTGGTATTAAAGTCTGTCTAACCTCACCTGGTTCATGCAGAACTCCGCCGACGACCATACTCCTCCGGTAAGTCGCCCGCCCGCTCCCTTTTAGAATCGCCGCTGCTTTTGTGGCTGACCGTGGTACTTCGTCGTGCAGCCGGCTGCTGGGTCGGGAGTTGACGCAAGAAAGGAGGTGAGTCTGTGCAGCAGTGCAAGAAAAATCTTGTCTTGCCTACCTTTCCGCCACTTACTCGGGGCGTTTGCTTGTTTCAGATAAGAAGGCGTGCCCAGGCTGAAATGAGGCTGTTCAAGAAGAGGTGGACGGCAGCTGTGAAGGACGACAAATGCTGGATCGATCCATACGACCGGCGGTCACGGAGGCAATAGCAATGATCCTAGTGCGCCATGCTCACCAAGGAAAGAAAGGTAAATACAAATGCTTTTTGGGAGGGAGCTTGTCTCACGGACCGAATCGACGAGTGTCGTAGTCCGTCCGGCCTCACGCGCCGGGGGCTGCCTGTGCTTGCTCAGTCTCCTCCGTCCGTCCGGTACTTATCGGTCGAGCCATACGGCGTCCTGACGGTACCACCACCTCTGTCATAACACCAGGTCGCGTGCAATACGCTTTGATCGTTTTTGGTGGTTTGTTTGTACGCGTAGCTTATGTATAGCTCACTTGCTTGGATCTTGCAGCCATCGATCTCTCTCGATCCATTCATCCATCCATCCACTCATCCATGCATCCATCTCGATCGATCCATTTCCACTTTCAAGTTTAAAGAATAAGTTAGCTAGCCTAGCTAGCTAGCCAGTGGCCAACACACCACGCTTGAGTTCTTGCGGGTCATCATATCATTCCTTCTCGGCTACTTGGTTGCGGTACAGTTTCTAAGAGCTCCCTCCATCCATCCATGATCCATCCTTGGCACTGGCCTCAAGGGCCAGAATATTCTATGTACCTTGCTGGGTTCTAGAAAAAAATTTATAAAGTGAAGTCGCTCGCAGACACTAGCTCACAGACACTAGGAACACTAGTAAATGCGGTCAAACAATCGGAGAGAGAGAAGACAGACGAAGGTGGACTAAATTAATTTAAAGCTTGGCTTATAAGATGATATCTTGCTCTTGTTTGTGTCGTTGTTTGTAGTGGATCATGGATAATTACTAGGCGAGAGGACCCCGTGATGAGATAAATCGATGGTTTGTTTGTTTGTATGGTGTGATGCCTGCCATGCAGTGCCATGCATACAATTATACACTCTTTTCTCCACTCTTTGGTTGGAATGTAAAGAGGAGCTGTAATAGAGGTGCACTTTACATAGAGGAGCAGCTGTTGCTGTTGCAGCAGTTGTTGCAGGGCGGATTGCTTGTTTGTTTTCTTACCCGTGATTTATGAAAGCATAGCAACAACAAACCACACCGCACAGCACACATACAGACACCGACACCGCCAACACAGCATCAGCAGTGCTCAGCAGCCCAGCAACAGCAGCAGCAGCAGCAGCAGCAGAAAGCAAGTCCCCAGCAAGTCTCCCCAAAAACTTATAAAGGGCAGCTGCTCTCAGTGGAATGACACACACATACACATAGACTCTCGCTTCAATTCAAATGCTTTTGCTTCCAACGAGTGATGATAGAAACGGGACGGGCAGTGATTCAGGAAGAGGGGTCCACAAACAAGCACTTCCTCCATGGCTACTAGTATACATATATATATACATATATATATATGGTGTCACTCCATCATCATCATTTCAAATCAAATCAGCAAAGAAGCAAAAGTGCTGCTGCTGCCCTGCTTGCTGCTGCTGCTGCCTCCTGAATCGTGCAGATCACTCACTTACTCACAGGCTTACTCACCCAGCATTTAAGAAAATGTTCAGCACAAGTTGAGAGGAGGGGAGACCCTGTGATCCTTTCTTCGCCCTTTCTGGAATGGAATGGACCACTAGCTGCTGGAATCCATGCTCTGTATCTTGTATATACCATGCCATGGCATGTCAAGCCCCTCATTAAATAGGCCACCAACTTTTTATAACAGCAAAAGAGCGAAGTTCCATTCATGAATGCCATGATTGATCAGTGTTGTGATTTTGCGCTTGTTTTGCTCTTTGACAAATGTAAATGTAAATGCAAATGCAAAGCTGGTGGTGGGGTGGCTTTGGCTTGGCAGAAGCTCACGGGGCGCCCGGGACCCACGAGAGGAACGTTGTACGCGCGCCCACGGACGGACTAAAAGCCCAACTCCTTTCTCTTACTACTACAACTACATGTAATTCTTCCACAAGTTTCTTCTTTTACAACAAAAAATCAAAGAGCTCGACGCGTTACATACTCTGTATACCATCTCCAGGAGTTGACTCTACAGACCTTGCCTTGGGTCTTTAATCTTTGACTGGCCTCACACACCAAGCTAGCCAAGGGTTGTTTTTGCGGTTTGAGTACGTTATGTTGCAACTAAACGAGCTCGACATGAAGCCAGAACAATAATGCCAAACTGTATAGAAAATGTGGGGAGTGATTTCCATGCTAACGGTATTTTTTGGTGGGGCGGCGAGTTGGAATCGAGCTCCGGACACCCATGGTATGGAGCTTGCTTGCCATGGCTTTATCATGGCGACCAATTATGGTTTTGACGCAGCTAAGTAACCTTGTTTAAATGTCTGTGGTACTACTACCAGTGTTTCTCTCTCCCGTGAGTCAGGAGGAGGGATCATTTCGTCTGCTTGCTTTCTTTTCCTTTTTTTTTCTCTCTCTCTCATGGCAATGCTTGAAGCGAGCAACTCGGCTGTCCGATGAATGTACACATGGCGCGGTAAAAAAGCTTGGTTTATGTTTTCTTTCTTTTTCCTTTTTATCTTTGACACACGGGAACAAAAGAAGCATCTTTTGGATTTGTGCTCCGACGAAACAACGAGGAGTGGTCATTGTTGTTGTTGCATCAGCAGCAGCCCATGGCCAGCAGCAGGCTGTCTTCATCCTCAAATCACTTCTTTTCCTCTTCGCCTCTCATCTCCAGCTCTAATCTCTCTTGAAATCATCCTCCCCATCTCTCTCTCTTTCTCTCGAAGCAGCTGCTTCATCCATCTCTTTCTCGCTCTCTATCTTCCTCTCGACCGCTGTTGCTGCTACGGCTGCTGCATTGCTACTAGGTCGGTAACTTCTCCTTGATCACGCTTCCCATGAATCTCTTGATGATGATGATCGATCAATATGTTCATTAGCTTAGGTAGAAGCAAAAGGTTCTTCCTTTTACCCCGGCCACAGTTTCCTGTTGTAGTTTTCCTTCCTTTTCCTCCAAGTATAAGAATGTGTCAAGAGGATCAACGCGCTAGAAGAGAAGAGAGGGAGAGCTCTAGAGGGCTCGAGGAAGAGAGAGGGAGATTTCTTTAGAAAGCCGGGCACTAACTGATTCATGAATGGGGTTTTTATGGAGCAGGCATCCAGTGCGGTGTTGGAGCAGCAGCAGCGGCGACGGAGGAATCGTGGTGTTTCAGCAGCAGCAGCCGCCAATCCGGATCCGAGAGGGTGGTGGTGATGAACCAAGCAGATCTCCAACGTCGTGGTGGCGGCTGCAAGAACAAGAGGCAGGGCTCGTCACCGGGTAAATGCGGTAGCGGCAGCTGAATATAATAGCGGTGCGGAATTCTACACACAACCACACACAGATGCGCTATATATGCTGCTTCCAGTCCGAGGGAGGAGTAAGCGCTCCTAACTAGCTTCGCCACGGGCCGCGCGGCCACAACAACGCTCGCTCTTTCTCTCTCGAGCAGTGTTCATGCTCCTGGGTGGCTCGCGGATACTAGCATCGATGCAGCCCGACAGTTTCAAGGCCGAGTCTGGAGGTGACGCTCTTGCATTTGCAGCAGCGCCGCCAGGTCAGGAACCACAGCCTCCTCCTCCACCTCTCCACGACAAGCTGGTGGGAAGGCTCGCAAGCACTCCCACAAACGGGATGCCAGGAGGAGAAGGAGACGATGGCAAGCAGCAAATCGGCAGCTTGGTGATGGTGCCGCCTGGGAAGAGCAGCGGCGGCGCCGGCGGCGCCAAATCCAAGACGGTACACTACCGCGAGTGTCTCAAGAACCACGCGGCCAGCATCGGCGGCCATTCGCTGGACGGGTGCGGCGAATTCATGCCCTGCGGCGAGGAAGGCACCATGGAGGCTCTCAAGTGCGCCGCTTGCGACTGCCACCGCAACTTCCACAAGCGCGAGGTGGAAGGCGAGCCCCTCGTCTGCGACATTTGCCACATGAACAGGAGAGAACGCAACCGCAAGGCCGCCGCCATCGCTGCTGGTGTTCTCCAGCAGCAGCAGCAGCAGCAACAGCAGCAGCAGCAAGGTGGTGGCCACACTCCAAGCGCACTACAGACCACTTGCAATACTGCTGCTGCTACTGCTTCCGCCTTGCCGCTTGCAGCATCCTCGGCGGCGTCGCTGGGGCCACGAACAGGCAACGCCCCCATGAGCCTGTTGGCGCTGAGCAGCCGGGGCGAGGGCGATCACCACGACATGTCGCCACTGAGTATGAAGAAGCGGTTCCGGACCAAGTTCAGCATGGACCAGAAGGAGAAGATGTACATGTTTGCGGAGAAGGTGGGGTGGAGGATCCAGAAGCATGACGAGGCGGCGGTGCAGCACTTTTGTGCCGAGGTCGGGGTCAAGCGGCACGTCCTCAAGGTGTGGATGCACAACAACAAGCATACGTTTGGAAAGAGGTCGTCTCTCGGCAGTCCCTCCTCCTCATCTATTGGTGGTGCCAACGTTCCACCCGGTCCAGGTAGCGGTGCTGCTGGTGGCGCTGCTGCTCCGCCTCCTCCGCCGCCTCATGATATGCAGCACCACCACCACCACCACCATCTTCTCTCCGATCCAGCTTCGGTGCTCAATCCTTCTCCTCTACACCAACATCAGCAGCAGCCCTGATGATATATTTCATCCGAACCATACGCGTTTTAAAACACGACGCTCGGGACAACCCACACACTAAAAACCTTACTGATTATGTTTTCAATTTGTCAGCAGAGCAGCAGCCTGAGCAGCGTTGCATGCATGACGACCGATTTACATTCTTGTCTATCTCCCTGGTCTTCCTCTCTCAATTTCCACCGTTTCTCTAATCTACCAGCTGCAAAGCCCGAATTCTTTTGTCTATTTGAATTCGATTCGACATTCCGGTCTCCCGTTGTTTGCAAGTCAATCAATAATGTATCCAGGGGCGCCTTTTGAAACTTGTACCAGCCTTTGTGTTCTTCTTTTTCCCAGCAAGCTAACGGTATGAAAGTTTGAAAACTGGCCTCTTATAATAGTAGCGTGCATGCAAACGGAGGGGTGAAGTTTTTAATCTATACATGGTCTCGCTTTTGGCCACCATGATTCTAGAAGGAAGCTCAGATTACACATCGGACAAGAGCACGTAAGGCGGTGCCTGAGGCTGAATGATAAACAGGCAGTCGGTTTGAACACGCCCCATAAGAAGGAAATTCTAGACCAAAGACACCTTGAACACCTAATTGCTCAGCGGCAAAGGCTTCTGATATTCAGCAAGGATGCAATCTTTCAATGACCATGTTGTGGCAAATCTTCATTCTGTAGCATGTCACTTCAATCGCTATTCTGCCTTCGCCAACAAATCCGGTCTTCGATCTGATAATCGATGATTATTTTCCAAACAAACAGAGCGTCGCCCTGAAGAACTCTTTTCAGCTGATTCGTAAAAGCAAGGCTGAACAAGAATCATGTACCAAGCTATCAACCGTAATATTTTCAAAATGGACTTCTCAATCTACTAGATGATCTACTATGTGCCAGTGTTCATCCTTGAAATCCTGGATTCCAGGTTGCTTCAAAGCAGCTGGAGGAAGAGGTTCTTCCTTTCCATGGCTGCCTTTTATTCCTCTATGCGATGTCTGGAACCCAGTGGCATCTTTTCCCTGAATATTCGATTGTAACTTGGTCAGACACCTTAGACCTCACCATGGTTTCTCTAGGCTGCAGCAGCATACACATCGGACAAGAGCACGTAAGCCGGTGCTTGTGTGGGATCAAGCTTCATGATAAACTCGGCGGTTGACTCGGCTCGTTCGACCTCCTGGTAGCGCTTGCACGCGGCCAAGAGCGACACCAGGTTGATTCCTTGGGGTTGAAACGGCATTGCCTTGAGCAGTTCCTCGGCCTCAAGAAGCCGCCCTTTCCTCGCCAAAAGATCCATCAAGCAAGTGAAGTGCTCGACTCCCGGGTTAATCATGAACTCGTCCATAAGAAGAAAATGCTCCGCGGCCGCAGCTTCCTCCTGCTGATGGCAGCCATGGCAAAAGCCAGCCAGGATGGAGACGAAGGTCACCTTGTCTGGAGCAACGCCCTCGACAACTAAAGCCTGGAACAGCTCCACTGCCTCCCCGACACGCCCGTGCCGAGTATAAGCTCCGATCATTGCATTCCACAAGACGGTGTCGCCGCTACTACGAATTTCCTCAAACACCTGTCTTGCTCTCTCTGGACTGCCGCACTTGCCGTATAAGTTGACGAGGCAAGTCCCCAGAACCAAATTCGTGTGAAGATCGAGCGCATCACCACTCTCGACAATCCGAGCATGGATCATTTGGCCGCGAGCTAGAGCTGCGGTGCTAGCACAAGCCTCAAGAGCGCTGGAAAAGGTGATGACATCGGGTGCTACTCCCTCCAAGTCCATGAGGGAAATCAGGTCCAGAGCCTGCTCCTCGTGCCCGCTGCTCCTGGCGAGTCCACACACCATAGTGTTCCACGAAGTCAAGTTCCTCTGGTTCTCCATCTTCTCTAGCTGCGTCCTTGCGTCTTCCAAGCTCCCGCAGCTGACGTACATGTTTATAAGGCAGTTTCCCACTGCAGTGTCCCTTTCAAGCGCGCTCTCGCTAACCTGTTCGTGAAGTCTCCTCCCTTGCGACAGAACGAAGCTGCTGCCCGAGTTAGCACAGGCATCCAATGCCACCACAAACGCTACCTTGTTCGGCTTGATCCCGTTGAGTTGCATCTCCTTAAAGAGCTTCAGACCTTGAGTTTCTTCCTTGTTACGTGCATAAGCTCCCGCCATTCCTGTCCAAGTGAGCACGTCCTTGTACGTTTTCATGTCGAAGAGTTTTCTGGCTTGCTCCAAACTCCCACATTTCCCGTACATGCTGATTCTCGCGTTCCCAATCTCGTGGTCCGTCTCGTATCCTGCGTCAATAACACAACCATGGACAGTTTTCGCTTGAGAAGAATCTCCAGTGTTGCTGCATGCATCGAGAGCGCTGAGAAAGGTTACCTTGTTGGGCTTAATGCCTTCGAGGTGCATGCGTCGGAACAAGCCCAGAGCTCGACCAAATTTGTGGTTTTGAACGTATGCAGCAACCATTGACGTGCAGCCTAGCTCGTCCTTTGCGTAAGATTCATAAGCCTCCCTTGCTGCTTCCACGTCTCCACACCTTCCATGCATCACAACTATAGCCGATCTCAAAACCGAATTGCTGGTGGTAACTCCACAACACTCTCGAATCAGCGAACAGATAACCGCAGCTGGCCTAGAATCACCTATGCACCCGCAAGCGTGAGCGACAGAGATGAATGTGACTAGACTTGGTAGACTGCCGTCAAGCAGCATACATCGAAATAAAAAGAGAGCTTGCCTAGGCTGGGAGTTGTGAGCAAGAGCCGAGATGATCGAGTTGTAGGAAACAGTGTCTGGAGCTTGTATAATGCAGAACATATCGTGCAGCTCGTCGAGCATTCCACACTTCCCATACATGCTCAGGAGAGTGTTCTGCAAAGTCAAATCAGTGTCCAAACCAGTTTGTGTCAAGAGCTCGTGACAGAGCTTACCTCGCCGCAAGTCTCTAGCACAGGCACATGCGTTTATGACGCTCACAAAGCTGATCTTGTCGAGCCTGACGCCTTCCAAGCTCATCTTCTGGAACAGCCTCAGAGCTTCCACGCTATACCCGTTTCGAGCATACGCTCCCATCAAAGCCGTGCAAGAGACAAGGTCTCCAGCAGCTTCCATGGCGTCAAAAACCTCCCGAGCGTCGTCCACACTACCACATTCTCCATACGCATGGATGAGGCTGCGAAGTATCCTCTCCTCGCCCCCAAAACCAGCCACTGCTGCCAGCCTTTCCAGTTCTCGAGCCTGTTTGATGTCCCTGCAAGCCGTCAACACGCTCGAGATTGTCACCGCGTTGAATCTCACTCCCTCGTTTTGCATTCTGCACAGGAGCTCAAATGCCCGCTGGTAATGGCCATTCCGGGCAAATGCTGCAATCAAGATGGTCCAAGAGAAAACGTTTGGCTCTTGAATGTGGCCGAACGTTTCAAGCGCGAGATCGAAGTTACCATGCTTACCATACATCTGGACCAGGAGATTCCCCAGGAAACGGCTTCCACCATGGCCGCTGGAACGAATGCTGGCATGGATGCTTCTACCTTCGTCTAACCCGTGACAACTTCTCAGCCGAGACGCATACCAATCCTTTGAGCCTGTGGTTGGACTTGAAATGCGAAGACGATCTTCTTCGAGATCTGCAGTGACCAGTAGTCCACTTGGAGCATGGCAGAACATCAAAGTTATAATCACCTAGTGAAGCTTAGCTAGTATATCATCAACGACGCTCATCTTGGCTCTCTGGGCCAGCGATATTTTCTCTCTTCTCGGAGCGCTCGTCTTCACAAGCTTCACCGGCTCGTCATTCTTGGTCACTTCTACGAGCGGGGTTCGTTTCAAGCTTGCAAAACTTCGCGTTGCTGGGGGACGAACCACCACAACGAAAGCGCCAGTGTCGTTCTTGAACGACACCACACGGATTTGATCTTCCAGATCTTGGCCGACAGGTCCCTCACACAAAATGAAAGTAAAACCCCGCTTCAGACGAGGAACTCTTGGAGTGACCTGGGCTCGTAGCTCCGAAAGCTTGGCTCTCTTTCCAATACTGATGATGGCGATAAGCTCTCCATTTAATTCCCACTTCACGATCACTTCCACCACTTCTTGACCAGCCTACGATACCAAAAATCACCTTCAAAGTTGGCAGAGATACAAATACGACTTACACTCTGCTGATTCTCTGGCACGCGGAATGCTTTGCTTTCCTTGATGTCTTGCAGCTCTTGCTCTAGAAAGCTCAATTTCTTCTCCAGAATCTAAACACAAATTAGTTTGTCAAGAGTTACACCACTATGAGGAAAAAGCTTACATTTTCTCGCTTTGCTGCCTCGTCCAGTTCCATTGCCTGAAAGTCCAGCTCCTTTGCTTGGAGGTCAACCTTTTGCTCAAGAGCCTAAGCTTGTAGCAACGCCACACCCAGTCAGCAACCAAAGAAACCAAAGAAGACATTACCTGATTTGCTCCTTTTAACAGCTCTACTTCTTGTCGCATTTTTTGGATCTCAGCAACTACACGATTAACCTGTCACAGTAAAAACGTCAGGAGTGGATAAAAGATGTAATATACAACATGAGAAGACATACCACCGGCTTGTTCTGGATGTTGCGTGCACGATTGGCATACTTCAACGTGTTCAGAGTTTCCTCCGCATTTGAAGCGGCCGGACTAATGCAAGCTGAACATCGAGTAAGGAGAACGAAAAAGTGAGGTTCCACTCACTCACCTATCATGGTAGTGTGGCTGTTCCCACCCAGTGAATCCTGCATCCAAAAACAATCGATCACCACAACGTCATGCTTCTCAAATCTTACCTGTAGGAGGCGTGTAAGTTTGCTATCCCTGTACGGGACATGGCCTCGTTTCTTGTCAGCTCCTAAAGCACTGATCACGTTGCCAAGCGCCAAAAGGCCACGGTTTATATGTACACCTGCATCACATCAAACTTGATTTGTGTTATGCGAAGAAAGAACGTTTACCTTCACTGAAACGATCCCCGTCAGCTCTTGTTTTCTTTACTCGCTCGGAGCCGGCAAGATCGACCAGGTGGAACTTCGCACGGAGAATATCGACTGTAGCTCGTGACGCATCACCACTCAGTTTTGGACGCTGCTCGACGTTTAAGGTGAAAATCGCATGGGATCGGCTGCGCATGCACAGCGTGAGGTGTTATAAGAAACATTCTACGGCCAACGAGACCTTGAATGCAAATTCATGCTTGTGCTGCCTGTCGCTCGACACCGCGAGCCTTTGTCCAAGCAAGCAGTCATTTCCTGCGAGCTTTTCACGTCCACTTCGGTGACGCCAGTGAGAAAAACACCTGCACTCCCAGTCTCTCGAATCTTTATATGAGACTCAGAAGAGCTTGAAGAGAGGAGGTCTCTCACGTTCTCCTTGAAAATCTGTTCTTTGAGAAGCTGAAGAATGTTGGAAAGAGAAAACAGCAATCCCCTCACCTCGATAAAAGAAACCCGGACTTGAAAGTCCGCCTTGTGCTTCAAAGCGTCGATCTTCTGGAAGAGCGTGTCCATGACTCGAGGGATAACGCCCTCCTTGCTGCCGTATCCTGTCCCCATTGTATATGTCTTTCCAGATCCAGTCTAGAGAAAAACACAAAGAAAAACGAGCTCACAAAAGAAGAAGAAAGGAGCACTCACCTGACCATAGGCAAAGACGGTGGCGTTGTAACCTTGGAACAATCCCTCCACGAGCGGTAGAACGCATTGATCAAAGATAAACGGCGGCGCAGTTCCACCGCCTCCATAGACTCGATCAAACGTGAAACGATGCTCCCCAGTAAGGACCTGATCAAACAAAGAAAGACATCGATCGAAACTTCCTAAACAAGATTTTACCTGCGGCTCTCCAGGAACAACAGACACGCAATCGTTTCCTTGCGATCGCTCCTCTCCGATCAAGGGCCGGATGTGCACAAGCACAGTCACAGCCTGCATTTGCGCCCAGGACTCTTTTCCCCGCGGCAAAGATTTTCAACCCGGCCGCGACCCCGTCATGGCATTGACCAGTAGTAAAGCAAATAAATCACTTTGCAACATAGCTGTTCACCCTAAACACAGGTCTAATGCTGCTGCTTCAATACTGTCAGAAGTGGGAATGTGGTAAAAGAAGCATTACTAAAGAAAATGCCTGAAAATGTTTCGGCACTCAAACGAAGTACATCCAGGTTGCAAAGGTGTTGAGCTGTGGGTGAAGGAGAAAGGAACCTTGTCCAGGAGCAGGAACCATTGTTCATCGCTTGTCGTATTGTTCACAGATGCTTGAGGCATGGAAACGATATTTTTGCTCGACTGGATCACAATCTCCAGCAGAGTTTTGTGTTATATTGACAGGATCCACGGTTAAACTTGCTTTTTCAGGTTCATCCAGGGAGCCAGTAACGCTTGGTCGATATGTCTCTGAATTCCACTTCAGGGATGAGGAAGTTAGAGGATGAAAGCCAGAGATGATGTTTAGCTATGTTGGAAACAACAAACTGCGAAATTGCATAGTGAAGGCAGTGGCGGTAATGAAAAGTGAATGCTCTCACGAAGGAGAGCTTGCATTTTCTATTGTAGCTAAGGAGCCAGATTGGCATTCGTAATCAAAAAGGACAGACAATGCATGGGCTTACTCCCGTCGTTTCATTTTCAGCCTCGTTTCTCCTTCAAGTCTTCGCTCTGGAATTTGTCGTGGCAATTGTTCATCTACTTGTTCCCAGAGCTTGCAAAGAGCAGTTCGCTACTACCTTGTCGCGGAAAAATTGAACAAACGCTATAGTGCACATTCTTGCTGGAAGTGTGCTTTTTGCTTGGTTATAATAAAGGCAGTGGTCTACTCCCCAAGAACCCTAAAAAAAATGAATGCGTGGATCCCCGGTTGCGCGGCGCTTCTGGATCGCGGGCTGCCTGAAGCGTCGATTGCCAGAGCACAGCAGCACTGGTAATGTGAATAGCCTAGGCATCGCATTGGCGGCGCTGGAAGCGGCTGGCGATTCCAGAGACGTGGATTTGGGGAGTAAGATCCACGCCGATGGGAGCCAGTGTGAGGCATGGAGCAGCAGCATTTACTTCTCCGGCATTCTCGTCAAGATGTATGTTCGGTGTGGAAGCTTGGCTGCTGCGAGCGATGCCTTCCACAGCATGAGACTGGCACACGGTTCCGCCAATGTGATGGTCGCCTGGAATGTTTTGATGCTGGGCTACGTGGAGAATGGGGAAGAAGAGAAAGCTCTCCAGCTCTTCGATTTCATGCGATCACAAGGTGCTACTCCAGATGCGAGGACGTTGCTGGCAGCGGTCAAGGCCATCACTTTGCGAGCAGCAAAGGAAACTGGAGACAGTCTAGGCATCAAACTCCGGGGATTGGACGATGCCATGACTCTCCACTCTAGCGCCAAAGGAACTTGTGAGTTGGATGTTTTCGTGGCGAGCTCACTCATGGATTTGTATGGCAGGTGTGGAAGCATGGCGGACGCTCGCAGGGTGTTCGACCGGATGAAGAACCACGACTTGGTGTCGTGGACAGCTTTGATCCTGGGCCATGTCGACAATGGAGACGGCGAGCTTGCTCTGGAGCTTTTCTCGTGCATGCAAGCGCAAGGCTCGTGTGTTCCGGACGCTCGAGCGTTCGTGGCAGCGCTCCAGGCTTGTGGCAGCATTGCTGGGGAAGAGGAAGGCACTGTCAGCTTTCTGGACTCTCTCAACGATAGGAAGGTCGTAAAATGGAAGTCCTTGCAGCTGGGAATGGCCATCCACTCGCAGATGGCAAGCCAGGGACTAGACACCGATCCTTACGTGACAAGCAGCTTGATCGACATGTACTCAAAGTGTGGAAGTGTCACCGAGGCCAGGAAGGTGTTTGACAGAATGAATTGCCCGACTGTGGTGTCTTGGAACGTCATGATATTGGGATACGTAGAAGATGCCCAGGAAGAGGTTGCCTTGGAGCTCTTTGAGGCCATGCAACACAGGGGATATACACCAGATGCAAGAACTTTTGTTGCTGCTTTCAAGGCATGCTCGAGCTTAGCAGCTACTGAAAAGGGAGCGCTAGTCGATGGCAGGATGGTCAAGTCAGGGTGCTTGCAGAGAGCCAGTTCAGTCCACAGGAAAGCTGCAAGCCGCGGCTGTGATCGGGAGGCTTTCGTGGCGAACTCTCTGCTGGATACTTATTGCAAGTGTGGGAGCGTCGAGGACGCGGTGAGGGTGTTCGAGAAGATGAAACGCCGGGATGCTATCTCTTGGACAGTGCTCCTTCTGGGATATGTCGAGAGCGGGAAAGCGGAGGCGGCTCTAGACCTCCTGGCTGAATCGGAGAACCATATTACGCCAGATCCTCCAATGTTTGTTGCGGCTCTGAAAGCCTGCTCGAGCCTGGCAGCCGGATCCAAACTTTCCAAGCTGGAAGTTCTCGAGAGAAGCATGGCTATTCATACTCGGGCTCGAAGATTTGGCTGTGACGGTGACACATTTGTTGCAAACGCTCTGGTGGATCTGTATGCAAAGTGTGGAAGCATTCTGGACAGCCGTATGGTCTTCGACAGCATGCCAAGACACAGTATGGTGTCGTGGAACTCTCTAGTTCAAGCTTATGCCGAAAACGGGGAGGAAAAACTGGCCTTGGAGGTGTTTGCTGCCGCTGGAACACCAGACCATGTAACATACACGGCAGCTCTCAAAGCCTGCGCGAGCCTTTCATCCGGAGAAGAAGCGACGCAGATTGAGGACGGGACGAGTGTGAAGCTGAGGTCGCTGGAGAAAGGGATGGAACTGCATTGCGGAGCTTCCAGGCGTGGATACGAGGTGGCAAACAGCGTTCTGGATATGTACGCAAAGTGTGGGAGCCTTGTGGACGCTCGCAGGGTGTTTGACACAATGCCGTGCTCCAGCATCGTGTCTTGGAACTCGCTGCTACTGGGCTACGCTGGCAACGGGGAGAGCGAGGTGGCTCTCGGACTGTTTGCACACTTGCAGCATCATCACCGGGAGGTGTGTGACGCACGGACTTATGCCGCTGCTCTCAAGGCGTGCAGTGCTTGCAGCGCGGCCACCTTAGCCAAGTCCATCCATGCCGTGCTGTGCAGAGATGGTCTGCTCGACATCGGTGACGCGGTGCTCGTCTCTTGCATGGTGGACGCCTATGCAAAGTCCGGGCTTGCGTTGGACGCGCAGCAAGTTTTCGACAGCACACAGCAGTCGTTCTGTGTCATCACTTGGAACGCACTCATGACAGGCTACTGTGCTCGAGGAGAGAGCGATCGAGTTCTTGGTGCTCTCCAGAGTATGAAAGACGAAGGCTTGAAACCCGACGCTATCACTCTCGTCTCCATCCTCTCGGCGTGCAGCCACACGGGACTGGTTGAGATGGCCAAGTCACACTTCGAGGCGCTGGTACGCGGTGCCGGCGGTGAAAGCACAGTGGAGCCCGTTGCTGAGCACTACCACTGCATGATCGACACGCTGGGACGAGCCAACCGTCTGGAGGAGGCAATGGTGCTGGTGGAAAGCATGCCTTTCACCGCCAGTGGAGTGACATGGTCGACGCTGCTGGCCGCCTGTTGCAAGTGGAACAATGTGGCGGTGGGAAAGGCCGTGTTTGATCGCTTCGTGGAGTCGGACTTTGGCTCCAGGGACTCGGCTGGTTACATGCTCATGGTCAAGCTCTATGGCAGCTCAGGCTTGTGGAAGGAGCAATCATTCGTTTTGCAAACCATGGCAGCCAAGTTTGGTGTTTTCTCTTCGGGCATTTCGAACAAAGACCGTCGATGCGGGTCATAAGATTCACCGGGCAAGACCCGATCCTTTCACGTTTCATATAATGAGCACAAGAGTTTCAATGAGCTCCACCAAGATTGATCAAACTCAAACAAGCAAGCAGGGAGGAGGTGTGGCATTGTAGGCCCTTCCATAGACGTGACTACACTGGGCAGTGCAGGGCGAGCCATCCCTCGTTTGAATCAGCCGGATATTGCTCATGACGATCTCTGTGCAAGGATGGTTACAGTTGAGCTTGACCCCCACCGGGGTGGCAGAGCTCCCGCTGATGTTTTCATACACCACGTCTCGCACCTCCACGCCGCTTCCATGATCCTCTCCCTGCGACCAAAAGAGGAAGATAAAAAAAAAAATCGGCCAGACTTTCTAAAGTCGAGTACTCACGCATCCCTGTGGAGATGATTCCATGTCGCAGTAGAACTGGTCAATGATTATAGGGTTCTTGACGTTGTCCATCTGCACATTTCGAAAGCTAATGCCTGTAGCGAGGCCAACGCCACCCTGCATGGAGGCTACGTAAATGTCCAGGTAATTGAGCTATGCTATACACTTGCCGGCCATGTCTTAATCCGGAGGCCATTGGTTGTATTGGCGAGGAGGGCCCCGTCCAGTGAGATGTTGGACACAAATGCCGCGCTCTTGTAATTTCCCAAGCTTCCGATGCTTCAATCACATCACAATTGAAATCTTGCGCAAAATCATCGATCGAAATTGTACCTGATTCCATGTCCGGCTCCACACGTAATGTCACGCATGGAGACGTGAGATGTGTTGGCTCCAATGGAGATGCAATCGTCCCCTGGATATAATTCGTACCATCAAGCAAAGCAAACAAAGTGAGAAAGGGAAAGAAAGAAAGAAAGAAAGAAAAGCTTGCTGGCATGCCTGTGTCTATGGTGATGGTGCCAAGGTTGACGAACTTGGAGCCCTGGACGTGAACGCCATCGGTGTTAGGGCTCTTTCTTGCGGCAGACACGATCAAATTGGTGGCGGTCACGTTGCTGCTGTGAAAGATACTGAAATGGATCTGTTGGCTGTTGACAAGGGTCAAGCCGTCGACAAGGACCCTTTCCGAGTCGTGAAGGACGAGCGACTGTTTGTACACACGTACATAGCACCCAAGTTATAAATTGGATCATGGAAGAGAGGTTATTATACGGTACCGTAGGAGCTCTGTGACAGGGCTGCCGCGCGTGGCCACATTTAAATTTTCCGCGAGTTCGCCGTGCAAATGCGATCGATCAAGTTGCAAGAACTTGTCAAGATGGCGAGTGATGAATGGAAAGTAGAAGTTGTGATGTAACTTACTTGGGTCGAGTCGAATTTGCATGATTTGGGCCACCATTGTTTTCCTCTCCCGTCCAAAACGCCCCCGCCCTGGATCGTCAGTCCCGAAACTTTCCGAATCACAATCCAATCGCGAGTTGTCTCGTCGCTCGTGAGAAATCTAGTGCTTGCGACCAGGTTTCCAGCCACCTATAGACATGTAACTCGAGCAAAGTTGGAATTGCTAGCGACTGAGATTGACAAGGATTTACTTGGAGGGTGATAAGTGATTTGCAAGGACCTTTGAGCTGCACCGGCGAGATCACAAAAGTTCTGCCGCCGGGGACAAGAACCATGGACGCATAGCTGCTGGATCCATACCGCCTGCTCGCTCCACCACCGCTACAAGCAGCATTCCATGCATCTAGCAGAGCCTGTCAGTTGCAAAACTCCCAAAAATATAAGTTCGTGGCGCGTCACATTCTATGAAAGAGAGAACCTTTGTGTCGTCTGTTTGTCCATCTCCACGGGCTCCATAGCTCACGACGCTAGACACAATCGTCTCTACAGTGGTGCAGTGAGCGTGGTGGATTGACAGTACTAGCACGATCATGAGGGCGACGCGGTGGTGGTGATGGCGGAGACGAGCTTCTTCCATGCTCTCCAGAGTGCTCGAGCAAGAACAAGCATGGAACAAGCAAGCAAGCAAAGCATTTTGTTTCTTGATCCGTGCATTAGCAAGCTTTGCATTTGCGTAGCTCTACGCGAGGCCGCAGGATTCGAGCCCTTGCACTCCCACAATCGACGGCGGACAATGGCACACGTGGGCAGCTTGTATTTGCTAGCCGTCGAGCTTATCGTCTTTGGTTTTCTTCTGTCCCGAGGTAGGGCTTGTCAGATTGCTCGTGGCCATGGCTGTCAAGGCGCCTTGCGTTTCTTCTTCGCTCAACCCCGACGCTCCCCACTTCGTCCCCTCCTTCTTCGAGAGCGTCGAGGATTTCTCGTCCGAGTGGTGGAATCTGGTGAAGAGCACGCCCGCCTTCCGTGATTACTGGATCCGCGAGAAGTGGGAGAGCGTTGTCTCGGAAGCGTCCGCCACGCTCGACGACTACGCCGAGGAAGACGAGGAGGATGTGTCATTCGAGGACGTGGATCTTGAGGATGTGAGGGCGCTCGACGAGGCGGACACCCTCAAAGAACAAGGTAACGAGATTTCTTTCTTGTCGCTGGTTTTGATCGATTCATGCGATGGGTTTGTAGATGTGAATCTGTGCCCCGCGCCGCGGGCCGTCAAGGTGATAGATCTGGTTTCACCGCCACCGGCGGCCGCCAAGATCTACGCTCCTCGAGACCCCCGCAACAAGCTTGTCAAGGTTCCTCCCAAGCTGGCGGCGGCGCAGATGAGGAAGGGCTCGCTGTCGACCCGGATCCAGCAGCCCCGGTAGGCGAAGAACGATCGATCCATAGAAAAACCATGATCTCTCATCTCTCTTTTTGTTGGTGTTCTTTCCTTTCGTTCCTCTTTCTCATCGTTTGCTTCGTCGTGCTTGACTTATAGCGAGCTCGACGAGTTCTTGTAAATTTACCTCTCAGCACCCAACTCTACCGAGGTGGAAAAAGTTGTAAAAAAAATGGTATGGAAAACAAAAAGCCTGTAGTAAAGATCTCTTAGTAATGGTGATCGAGCAGCGAGAGTGTCTCGAGATGGATTGGCCAGTTCCCTCCCAGGAGCTGCCTGCTATTCTCCATGGCTACCCGGAAGTCGAGAGCCGAGATCCGGTGATTGCTCGATCTTCTTCTTCCCGTTTGGATACAAGCCTTGATCAATCGCTTCAAGTGGATGTCCAGCGCATGGTTGACGAGATTGGCGCACTCGTGCTCCACCTCGAGCCCCGCTGCAAATCGCGTCATTCGCGTTTGCATGCTGCTAGCGTCGGGCAATTCACTCGCCTCCATGATCATCATCTCGGCGCTGCTCACCATCGACACAGGCGAGGATGATCTTTGCGACGCGCCACCCACGCTCTGGCGACAAAGAGGCACGCCAAGTGGTGCTTGCACTTCTTCCTCTTCTTCGTCATTATCTTCGCCATCCTCGTCCAGTTCTTCCTTCTCGTCCTCCATAGCTTTAAGCACTGCCATGCCGGAGCTTTGCTTGAACCGCTTGGCAGCAGGCAATGCGTGGTAGTCCGATTTGTTCTTGCGCGGATCATCGCTTGCTAGTAGTCCGGAAGATGGTCTTCCGCGGGGTGGCGGCTGTCCACACCTTGCGTTGGAAAGGACTGCTCGGACGATTTGGTTGTGGAGCACGATGCTGTCCTTGCTGCCCAGCGTCTGGAGCAGCCTCTTGTCGAGCTCGGCTTTGCTCAATCGGTGGCTTAGAAAGCTGCTAAAGATGTTGCAGTACTCTTTCTCCTTGCTGGGACCCAAGATCTTGGAAAGCTTGGATTTCAAGTCGATTAAGTTGATGCGCCAGTGCTGGACGGGCAGCTCCACGCGCTTGGCCCCGCGTAGCGCAACTCGAGCAAATCCTCCATTGCTACTTCCAGGACCAAGAGCTTGATCACCCTCTACAATGCACCCAAGCGTATGATCAATTCGAGCTTCCATAGAGCGACTAGAACTACAAAAAAAAGCTCTAGAGTTACCTTGCAAGGGATGATTAGCCATAACCCCATGATCCGGGAAGGAAGAGCAATCGACCTCGATCATCTCCAGCAGCTCAGCTCAGCAGCTCCGCCCACCTCGATCCTCGCTCAGAATTGGCCGTGGAGTCGGATCATCATCTGCATTGCCGGAATTTCGTCCTGGACGCTCCAGCTCCCGCTGCTCCAATTCAAACCCTCGAGCGCCAAGCAGCTACGCGCGCTGCCGCATTTATGCCATGGCTTTACCATGAGAGTGGTGAGAAATCCCGGATCATTCGTAGCTCCGCGTCCGCCATAGCCAACCCCATTGGCACAACGAATGGAATAATGCCGGAGAATATCCCTTCCACCGTAGGTAGCGTATATTCCCCTCCCCGCTACTAGAGGAGGCTCCAGTATGTGGAACACTCGCCCAGCATGAACTGGCTAATGGACGCCCTCTTGGGCTTGAGCTCCCGAGCGATTCCAATGTTGACGCGACTCACGTCCAGCAAATCTGGATCCTTGAGCTGCCGAGCAATCGCAAAATACTTCCCGAATTGCTCCAGTGACTCCTCGCGATTCTCTTGTCTCTTGTAGAGCGAGCCGAGCAAACAGTGTCCCACGGCCTGCAAGTAAGACACGAAAAACAAGGATTTCTAGCCAAATCTCTCATGGATTGCTTGCACGAATGGAATACCAGAGTGACGGGATCTAGAAATGCCGCTGCTTGCAAGTAAGCCTTGAGATGGTGCACAGCTGCAGATATATTGCCAGCGGCTTCATAAGTTTCCGACATAGCTGCGTGAGCTTTGCACTCTCCTGCCTGAGAGAGCGAGAAGAAAAATCTCGAAGACAATCTTAACGCATGGCTCGCGCGTGCGTACCTTGTTCCTGATCTTCCTTGAGAAATCGATGTACTCGTTGTGGTATTTCACAGCGTTTTGCGTCTCCCTGAGCATCCCATATTCGAGTCCAATGTTGTACTTGGCTTCACCTCCCTGAACAGGATTACTACATGCCACAGCAGCTCGCACGCACTGTGATCACGACGAAAAATTCACACATCTCCAAAGTTTTTCTATAGTTTTTCCTGGCTTGCCTTTTCAAAGTAGCAAATGCTCTGTCTGTAGTTGCCTTCTTGTCGGCACTCCTCGGCGCAATGCCAGTAGACCTGCAAGCTTTTCCATGCTGTTTTCTTCCTGGATTTAAGACGAGCTAAGCTACCAAGGTAGAGAAAGAAAGCGTCACCTCGAGGAGCTCAGTTGCAGCCATGACGACGAGCTGGCCGTGGTTTATGAAGCTTGCGAGGCCCAAGCAATCCTCAAAGCAGCTGATGGCGTCGCCACTGTTTCGCACCTTCCAGTAGATCTTGCCAAGGTTGTATTTTGCCTAAACATTGCTGTAGAACATGTGAACAATCCGGATGATCAATCAGGTGGTTGTCACAGGAGGAGAAGCTTACCTGTGCTACGTGAAAGGTGTTCCGTGTGCTCGTCACATTGCTGGCCGCGGCGAGAGCTCGCACGAAGTAGGCCACCGCAGTGGAGAAGTAGCACGTCTTGTCAAACAGAGCTCCAACGCCGGACAGTGCCACGAACAGCTTCTCATTGTTCCCTGCTTAGAGATTTCTCTAGCTCATACTTTGGCGATGTGATTTCTTGACTTACCTGTTCTTGCAGCTCGCTCTGCTGCTACAAGATGGCCGCACAAAACGCTCTGGACTTCCTTCTTCTTAAACTGCAAGAAGATAAGCACGAGTGTTTTGATAAAAATGGTGGTGCTCGATCGATTCTACCGTTCTCTGAGCTTCGGCGATGGGGAACCTGATGCCAGCTTCCTCGTCCTCTTTGTTGGTCGGCTCGGGCTCCAAGGTGGTGGTGAGCTCGAAAAACTCTTGAATTAAAATCGTGTTAGAACTCAAGAGAAAGATCAATCTATCACCACTTTGCTTACCAACAAAAGCCTTTGGCATTCCATCGACGAGCATCTTCTGGCCCAGCTCTTGCGCCGGCGTCAAGGACACATTGGTGAGCCCGATTCCCGCATTGGCAGTGCTCTCCGTGAGCTGGGACGATTCGGATTGGAAAAGAAATGGTAGCCTGGTAGCTGCGAAGCTGAGAAAAAGCTCACCTTTTCAAAGAGGATCCTCTTGAGCCTGAGGATCTCGTTGTGCACGGCGTCCTTGTTTCCCATCTCTTGCTCGTAAGTTAGGGTTTAAGAGCATCCGTGCCTCTTGCTGCCTCACGAATATTCCCATCTTCAATGGGCTCATATGATATCCGTTGGGACGCCATGGAGCCGTTAAATCTCTTCCCTGTCCTGTCGCTGGGAGAGATTGTAAATAGCATCCAGACAAGCGCAAGCTTACGCGCCTATCTCGCCCCAGCCTAGTTTGTAGCAACGCTGTCGCTCAGAGAAAGAGAAGATAGCATAGAAGAAGAATCCAATCGCGACTGTAGAGATGGTGAGAGAGGTTTCGATTCTTCGCTTGGGATTGGGAGCTTTGATGCTCGCTGCGATGCATTACATGGCAATGGCGCAACAGCTCCATCCGGATGAGCGCGATGCATTGCTCGACATCAAGAAGCAGCTCAAGGATCTGCCGGGCTCCTCCTTCCTGTCCAGCTGGGATTTCGAACGCGAGCCTTGCAGCGGCTTCTCCGGGATCGTTTGCACTATCATCGGCGCCAGCAGCCACGTCGTGATGCTCAACCTGGGCGACGGCTACGCCGGATCGCCAGGCCTCACTGGCACGCTCAGCCCGCGCATTGGAGACCTCCGCCTGCTCCAGCAACTCACGCTCACGGCGGGCAGCGTACGAGGAGAGCTCCCATCCAGCATTGGCGAGAATCTGGGCAGCAGCCTCCAGTTCCTGGGAATCAGCCACAACCAGCTCTCCGGATGCATCCCCGCCAGCTTTGCCAGCCTCACACGATTGCTGGTGCTGGACCTCAGCTCCAATTCTCTCGCCTGCGCCATTCCACACGAGATTGCTCTGCTGCCCAGTCTCGTCGCCCTGGAGCTCTCCCACAACAAGCTCTCGGGGCCAATCCCTGATCGATTCACCTCCGCCTCCATGACCCATTTCGATCTAGGCTGGAACGAGCTCTCGGGTGAGATACCCCGCTCGCTCCCCGCCTCGCTCACCTATCTCTCCCTCAAGAACAACCGGCTATCGGGCTCCATGGCTCCATCGCTGGCGTCCCTCCGCGCATTGACCACGCTTGACTTAAGCTCCAACGAATTGACCGGGGCCATTCCATCGTTGCTGTGGAGCAGCAATCCAAATCTCGTGTCTGTGCAGCTCCAGCGCAATCACTTGTCAGGGCCTGTGGCGATCGAATCTCCCGCGAGGATGAGCCGCGTGGATTTGAGCTACAACAATCTCTCGGGCGCCATTCCACCGATGCTAGCCTTCTCGGAGAACGTCTTCCTCAACAACAATCACTTCACGGGCTCCGTCCCAAAGGAATTCGCGGATGGCCTCCTCTCAGCAAATCTTCGCAATCTCTATCTCCAGCACAACTTCCTGACGGGCTTCGATCTATCGCCGCCGGACGCCGCGCTACCCGCCGCCGCGCTCCTCTGCCTCCAATACAATTGCCTCACGCCGCCATCGCAATCGGCATGCCCTCTCAATGCTGGCAAGCTCTCCTCCAGACCGCCACACCAGTGTTTATCATCCTACACTCCATGACCGATTAGATCATCTCTAGAGATCGAGCGAGGATCATCTTCTCTCTCGCTAGCATTGTACCATGGTTAAAGTATGGTTAAAGTGAATTTTTCCTTTCACTCCACATTTTAATTTGAGATCTATCGGACCGGGTTTAGGGTTCTCGATGGAGAGTCCTCCCGCTCCGGCAGCTCCTGGCAATGGCGCTGCGTCGCTGCTGTCCCAGATCCTGCTCCAGAGCGTGTCGCCGGTGGTCATGGTGCTTGCGTCGCCCCGCGCGGAGGCGGCATGCCGGAAGAACAATCTCGGATTCGTGGATCTCCTGCGCCCCTTCTGTTTTCTCGACCGCGTCAATGGTGAGTGTGCTTGTTTTCGTGGAATGTGAATGAATCCGATCTCTCCTCCGTGATTATTCCATCAGTACCCGTGCGGACAGCGAGCGAGACGCCATACCGGCTGCAAGAGTTTCGACTCCGCCTCTTCTACGCTTCGGAGATTCGAGCTACGCCAATTGAGGTAGCTTTTCATTCATTCTTCATGTGAAGAATGATGTATGCTTTTTCTTTTCTGCGTTGCTTAGCTAGCCGAGCAGCAATTACTTGATGTGGTGAATGAGGCTGCTCTGGACGAGATCCAAGGTGACGATCTTCGTGCTCAGAGCAGTATTGAATCCGTCCACAGAGGTTTGCTGTGTTCCAGTTGTTCTCTCTTTGAGTTCCTTATTCTGTGCTGCTTGTTTCTGCTAGCGATGCAGTCGGAGTCGACACTGTCTTGGTTCCAAAAGTACAGTACCGCGTTTGCCCGGACTCTAGCATTCTCTGAACACGAAGCTTTTGATCACCCTGTAGCTTGTATAGTCCTAGATATTCTCGATCACGTAAGCTGACTCATGGCGAGTGTGTGACTTGCAGGTCTGCTTGTTGTTTCTTCAAACGACGAGAACCCCCTCGACGTCTTTGCTAGCCTGTCAGACGTTACCAATCTGCCATCGTTGCTCAAGGATGGTGCCATGGATCCAAGAATCCTCAGGCACTACGTTGTATTGCACGACAACCAGGATGGGCCTTCTGATCGGTAAGTCTCAAGCAATTATTTACCTTCATCTTGTAATTTTTTGCGTTGTCTGGTATCTGGCAGCGCAAATGAGATGCTTCAGAATTTTGCTGGTACACTAGATGTTAACGACTGCAGCTTAATCCGGATAAATTCTTCTCCACTGGATAATGGTTCCCCTGTGGAAGATATCTGGAGTTCTAGCATGCCGCATTATAAGGTATGCAAATGTTTTGTGCTTATGCTTCTCTGGGCTATAACTTGAGACATGCAGATATCAGACAATCTTAAAACTGGATGCTGTCTTCAAATTAACGATGTCGATGAGGTACTTGTCTGAAAGCCATCCACATTTCTCCTGAGGCTATTTCTTGTTTCAGATTCAAAGGTTTGTGATCGATTTGTGCCAGAAGCACATTATACCGTATATGGAACAGAAAGTTCGTTACTTGAATCAGCAGGTAAGTTTTTGCTGCAAAATTTGCTGCTACTGAACAGATTGTGGTTGCAGGTGGCAGCTACACGACGAGGCTTAAAGAATCAATTAAAAAATCTTTGGTGGCGGAAAAAAGACTCCGAATACCCGGATACTCCTTCAGGGAATGTGTAAGACGAAACATAAATAGCGCTCTCATCCTTCTCTCTCTCTCTCTCTTTTTTTTTTTTTTTTTGTGTATTGGCAGATATACTTACAATTCGGTGGAATCACAAATTCGTGTTCTTGCGGATTACTCTTTTATGTTGCAAGATTACGATCTGGCGGTATCAAACTATCGCTTGCTCTCGAGCGATTACAAAGCTGATAGAGCGCTGAAAAGATATGCCGGCGTCATGGTGAGTTGAAAGTTTTGTGTGATTTCATTCTTGACATGTATTATGCACACAGGAGATGCTTGGAATTTGTTTATGCCTGTTGGACCAATCAAGAAAAGAAGCTGATAACTCCTTAGAGACAGCCTACATAACATATCAAGTAACGAGCTTTGTGCGTCTTATTTGATATTCTGAGCTGTTTTACCTTTCTAGACTTGTGGCCCTCCCTCCATAAGGTACGCAACGCGCACAGCTTTGTGGTGGGCTGAAGTGCATAAAACGAGAGCTCAATATTCCGAAGCTGCATCCGTCCTCTTTCGAGCGGGCACAGAGGTTTGGTTTTGATCGCGTGCTTACAAGCTTTAAAACTTCCAATTAGATGGACAAGGATGCTACTTTGCGAGCAGGAGTATTGTTAGAGCAGTCAGCATACTGTTTCTTGCGTTGTGTCCCACCTATGCTGCGGAAGTACGGTTTTCATCTTGTTTTAGCAGGTATCCGGTACCATATGAGTAGCCAGGTAAATTGCAACAGCATTTTGGCTTTGACTTATCCTTCAACTACTCTAGAGAAAACACGCGCTACGTGCCTATTCGAGAGCCTCAGCTGTATACGATGGGCAAGGCTGGAATTTTATTGGTGATCACGTTAATGTCTACCTTGGCCGGTACGTGAAAGGCTTTAATGAGTTTACTGAACTGGCTATTATTGCTTTCAGGATATCCTTGCTTCTTGGGAAGGTGGATGCTGCTGTTCAACATTTTATGAACATCATGGCTTGCAGTCACCAGTCTGCTCCGACACAAGCCCAGTTCTTGAAAGAATTTCTCAATGCAGTCCAGGTATTTTAAGTTTATCTTTTAATTTGCATCGTTAAACACCGTGATTTGGTAGAATTTGGAAACGAAAGATGAGGTGTTACGAGTAAGGTTGCCTGCAATAAGCTCCGATGACGTGTATGTACGCTTTGAAGATCACAGGACCTATGCTTCCGCCATGGCTGTAAGATAACTATTTCTCATGTCAGAATATTGTAAGCAGGTTTCTGCAGGCCAGTGTACCGGAAGCGGAATGGGCCCTTTTAGAGGAGGAGCTTGTTCCACCGTCCTCAGGAGCACCAATTACGACTTGGTTGGATGCAGGGAAATCTAACAAGAAAATCCAGGATTTTAACGTGTGCGTTTCAGGAGGTAAGTCTTGTGGTTGTATTGAATTTCACATTTATTTACATTTTCTTTTTGACAGAGGATGTTTGTGTCTTTCTTAAGGTTAGCAATCCGTTGCAAATCTCCATTGAAGTCTTTCTTATGGAGCTTATTTGCGAGTTTCAACCAAAAAAGAGAGGTGATATTTCCTGAATCAACTTTTAGTGTTACTTACCGACTCTGTAGGACCAGAAGAGATGACGAGCTCAAAACCGTATGTTGCCGTTTTCCTTTGAATTTTTCTTCAAGGTGTGCACTTTGCAGTGAAAACTCCTCGTTGATTCTCTCAAACGAATCATTTTCTCTCAAGGGTGGAGAAGAGGTGGAGGTAAGACTTGCTAGTCACATTTTTATTTTTTTATTTTTTTCTGTTTTTCATGCCCGGGTGCAGGTTTGCTTGAAGACGAAGCCTATCGAAGAAGGTTTGCTGCAGGTAGTGGGAGTTAAATGGGGCCTTTGTGGAATCGTGCAATGTCGTTATGACTTTCCAGTGCAAGGGAAATCAAAATCATCAAAGCCAAGAAAGTCTAAAATAGATGTACCATTCCATAAGCGGTTGAAGTTCAACGTAGTGGCGGTACGTAATATTTCGAGTATCATTTTCTTTTCCTGATTTACTGTGGGCAGCACATGCCAAGGCTGGAGATATCAATGCATGAGCTACCACCAAAGATTAACAGAGGAGAAGTTCGGCGTGTTGTATTAGAGATTCAAAATCCGTCTCAGGCCTCTATTAAGGTCTGCATTCTCTCCTTTGCATTACTCGTGTAACCTTTGAGTTGTTCTTGTAGAATATCAAACTTAAAACCAGCCATCCTGCGTTTTTAATGTTTGGCGAACAAGGAGATTTGGACCTTGAATTTCCAAATTGTTTGGAAGTGCGAAATGATGGGCAGCCAAAAGACATCCAATGTGAACACGGTAGCTCCATTTTTCACTTTCCGGAGGTTTGGTGCTCTCGTAACTACGAAGTTAAGCTCCTGACCGTCGTTATTGGTCTCAGAAAACTTTGTTAGAAGGAGTGTCAACATTCCTATGGCCGTTATGGTTGCATGCAAGCCACGATGGAAAGGTGTCATTCAAGACAGTACTCTACTTTGAGCCGTGTGAAGACACTACCAGCCTTAAGTATCGGACTTTGCGAATGGTCCATAGTGTTCAGGTAAAGCTGACTTCTTGTTATTTAGACTTCTTTTGTTTACCGCTTTGCTTTTAGGTGATTCCGTCGCTACAAGTCTCCGTGGGAATATCGTCCTGCCCAGTGAAGCTGGACCAGTACCTTTTACGAATGGACGTAGCAAATGTACATCCTTCCGACAGTTTCTGGTTGCGACAGGCATCGAGTATCGGAGATGATTGGTGCTTCTCTGCCGTTCAGCCGCAGGTGTTGGAGCAAGCAGATAATGATGAAACACTCAAGGCTGCATTCCTGTCATCTTCCGTCTCTCCATCTCAGTTGCTGCCTGCTACGCAATCATCCTCCTTTTTCTTCCAACTCCGGGTAAGCTCCGTTTTGCGTATCTGGCTGTTTAAGTCGTAGTGACTGTGCAGAGGGATGTGGAGACAAAGCATGGAGGTGGTACCGTAAGACTTGGTCCTCCTAGTAGCGAAGAGCCTCTAATCAACATTAGTTCAGGTCCACTTTCTTATTTTCACCAGCAAGAGAAGATTGTACAGATAAAAACTTCTCAGGTTTGGTTTCGTTTGAATGTTTTGTTAATTTCTCCAACTACTGTTTTCACTAGCAGCACGCTAGATATCAAACTGTCGATATAGTTTTGATCACTGGGCAACAAGACGACATGATAACCGAGAAAGCCGCGGGTAGTCACCGGGATTTTCGTATTGCAAGCCATCACGTCTGTCATTGCAGGTTTTGTTCGATTTGTCTCCATTTTCCTATGGTCTTACGAGCTTCAACTTTGCAGGGTGGAAGGCTCTCAACCATTAGTTTGGGCTATGGAGGGACCGAGGTGTTTAGCCCACGACTTCGCTACCCAAGGTCTATGCGAAGTCCCGGTCTTCTTGGCTCTTAGAAACTGCTCGCAGCTGACAGCATCCGTGAAAGTGGAGACTTGTGACTGGAATGACACAGGCGATGGTGGTGCCAAAGCTGGGTGGCGAAGTGCCTCGCCTCCACCAACTTTAGAGGCTCTCGCTTTGTCAGGAACAGAATCCTCAGCAAGGAGTGACAGGAAGCTTGCATCATCCGGACCTTACGTATGGTGCTGCTCCAAATCCGTGACATCGCTGGAACTGGCACCCGGAGCTTCCACCAGAGTGCCGCTATGCGTCGGAGTGCTAGCGCCGGGAATGTACGACTTGAGCAACTATAGGATCTCGTGGAGATTGCTAGAGACGGGGAAGCAACAGGCAGAGACAGTGGTAGTGGCCCCGGAGAAGGCAAAAAAGAGCAGCTTTGTGGCGGCTCCAGCAATTAGAGCAGGCGACTATGCCGAGGAAGCAGCACTATCACCGGTTGATCGTAGCGATGGTGGTGCCAGTAACACGGATAGAGTAGCACAAGTAGGAGAAGGAGCCGGGCACTCTTTCTTATTCACAGTCATCCAAATGCCGATGGAGCTGCTTTAAGAAGACGGAAGAAAGAAAGTTGAGCGTTGGAGCGTTTCTTCACTCTCCTCCAAACAAATCGACGTGTTTTTGCCGCTCCTCCATGGACCTGAGCACGTCATACACTTGTTCTTCTTCGATCTTAAACTCCTCGGCAAGCTTCGCAGCGGTGTAGAGCTTTGGATCTTTCTTGCGCAGCGTCAAGAGCTTCCATTTCTCCTGATCGGACAGCCGGGTAGGCTTGAGCGGCCAAGCCATCCTCGTCTTGTACTGGAACCGGGCCTTGATCTCCACTCCAGGAATCCTGTGCTCCTTGAGAAACTCGAGCTTCTCTCGCAACTTACTCGTCTCCGTATCGATGGTGACGCGCCACTTCCGCGTCTGGATATCAAACTGCTCGCGCGATTTCTTGTCGATGTGAGGCCCCTGGATGACGGTGAAGAGCGACCTCTCCGTGGGCAGCCCACACACCTTGGCGTTGGGGATGTCTCCCAGCCGAAACTCACGCATCGCGGTCTTGATGTTGATGGTGAGCTTGGCAGCGCAGCTGTCGTCGGCCTTGGATTTGGACCTCCTTCTCCTCCTCCTTGCCTTTGGAGTAATCCCGGTTTCTCCATCGCTTGCGATCTCCGTGCTGCTGCTTGCGGCGATTTCTCCGGACGATGACGATGCGCTGCTGCTACAGAAGCTCGAGGGAGTGAAATGCGGCATCACCCACCTTATCCTGGCCGAGCAGCCGCTCCTCCGCATTGCCATCGCCATAGAACCCTAAAACTCCTTGCTTTTAGGGTTCTTGGGGAACCATACTCAAAAAGATTTAAAGGAACATTATAATTTCCAGGAGGGAGAACGTGCTAAAGGAATCCACGGCCCAGGGATCTTTACTCATAAACAGTTAGCTATGGGGCCCTGTCTACTGTCTAGAAACATTTTGCCCCATTTTCCACATGATTGAAAATCTGATATTTACCCCTAGGGAATTTCTTTTAGCTCAAATTTTATACTTCTTTTTGTGTTGGAGTTAAAATCATTTACTTATTGTAAAGTCTACACTAATTTGCAAATAGCTGCTTTTTAGGGTTCTTGGGATTTTATTAGGGTGGATGGAAAGCGACCTCCGGCTACCTCACATTTTCTCTCGATGTCCCTGTCCTTCCAGCAGGGATCTGCTTCCTTCTTGGTTTTCCAGTGTGGGGCAATACTTATTTTGTCCTCAAAAGACTGGCTTTGTGGACGATGCTGCAGTCCTGATGCCTTATCCAAGTAAGTCTCTGACATCTCTATCCAACTAGGACGCATTTCTTTTTCTCTTGGTGGAGTTGTTTGTCTCTAGAGCAATATTGACAAAGCCAGTTTTGTGGCTGATCTTTCCTTGGCAGCTGTTTGTCTCTTGCTGGGACGAAGAATCTAAATCTTCTTTCTCCTCTCGTAAAACAGGCATACGTCGCTGTTCTTATTCCATCACAGTACTTCACAAACAATACAAACTCTGGTATGATTTTGCTTAGAGCTTAGAGCTCTGCTCTTTCACTTGGACGACTTGACATGCTCCACAACGTTCTGTGCAGTGCAGTAGGCGATGGACTGGATAGTGACCATGGGGTTGAGACCAGTGGGTGTGGGAAAGACGCTGGCGTCCGTGAGGAAGAGGCCTTCAGCATCCCAAGTCTCGCCTTTGGCATCAATCACCGAGTTCTCGGGGCTGGATCCCATCCGGCACGATCCCAGCAAGTGATACGATACCATTGGCAGCCGGTTGGGCTTGAGCCCTTTGCTTCTCACGCTCGCAAGGTACTCCTCGAATCGCTTCTTCTCTTCTTTCCAGCTTGTCGACTTGCCAAACGTGAAGCTTTCAGCGTCGTGGTGGTGCGTCCCGACTTCCACTGCCCCCGCTGCCTTGAGCACGCGAAGTCCTTTCTCCGCTCCCTCCAGGCAAACCTCCTCGTCGTATGGATCTAGAGTATACTCGATCGTGATCTCGTCCGTCTTCTTGTCCACTCCGATACTCCCAGCTCCTTTGTCACGAGTGAAGAGCACCACCTGAGAGACTCGTCTGAACCTCCGCATTGCCTCCTTGTGCTGAGCTCCAGATTTCCAAGTTACCACCGAAGCGTACTGTCCGGGGTGGAAGCTCGGTGTCATGAGCACCGGACCATAGCCGACTGTGTCCCAGCGTGCGCTCACCGCGCTAAAGGCCGTCATGATCCCTCCTTCGAAGCTAGCTCCCGGGTTCTTCTCCTCGTCCGGGAAGTATCCCCACACTCCCAGCACCGGATGGATGTGGAAGTGTTTCCCAATGTTTGGATTCGTGAGTCCACTCCTGATGAGCAGCGGTGGTGTCATGATAGAGCCGGTGGACACGATGGTCGCTTTGGCCTCGATGATCAACTTCTTTGGCTGGTCACCCAAGGTGGTGGCCAACACACCGATGGCTTTCTTCTCCTTCTTGGTCCCGTCCGTGAATAGCACTTGCAAGCCTTTTGTTCCCGTGAGGATGGTCGCTCCCGCTGCCGCTGCTTCCACCAGCCAAGTCTCGGTGGTCGCTTGCTTCATACCCCGTCGGCATCCCATGTTACAGCAGCCGCAATAGTGTTCCGGGCTCGCGTTTCTCGGTATATTTGCGCTGTGGAGGCCAAGCTCCACGCATCCCTTGCGCAGGACTGCATTCTGGAAGCTTTCCACTGTTGCATTGGGCTGAACACCGATCTTCTTGCAGATGAGATCCAGAGCTTGCTGGTACTTTTCGCTGGTAAACATGGGAAGTCCACACTCCTCGGCCCATTCCTGGCGGACGTGAGGCGGAGTCTGGAAGGATGCCGCCCAGTTGATGCAAGTTCCGCCTCCCACCACCGCAGCGGACATGAGCGAGTAAGCAACGTCGTCAGTTGCCAGAAATCCGCCTTCTTCGTAGAGCTCGCTGAAAGTCGGTTGCTCGAGCAGGGACAGATCTTCTCTCGCAAAGTAGCGGCCTTTTTCCAGCAGCAAAACTTTGAGGCCGGCAGTGGACAGGACCTGAGCTGGAACGCTTCCTCCGCTGCCAGCTCCAACAATGATCACGTCGCATTTGATGCCAATCACGTCCTCTCCGTCCTCGAGCTTGTTGGAAGGCAGGAGCGCCGGCTTGAGGTGAGATATGTCATCCAGTAGAGTGTAACCCGTGTGCTTGAGGACTCCTCGCAGGTCGGGGTGCTCTCTGACGTCGAAGACGGCGGACTTGAGAGCTGACGGCTTTGGAGGCAACGTTGCTTTCATGGAGTTTGGATCCGGTCCCGCATAGCCGATGGCTTCCCAGGTCGGGTTGTAGCCCTTAGCATCCACCTGCAAGCCAAGAGGTACAATGTCTTGATATAGAGAGCGTCTTTTTAAACCATGGCACCTTGCTATAGACAGTGTTGAGGATGAACGTCTTGAAGATCTTGAAGTTGAGACGGGAATCGTCGTCGTCGCTGTTGGCCCACTGGTACATAAGTTTCTCTCGCTCCTCGAGCGGCACCTCACTGAACTTCTTGTCGTAGGGGTACTGCGGAGTGGACTTGGGCGTGGAGAGCATGCCCAGCACCTCCTCGGCTCTCCTCAAAAGCTTGGGATGGATAAACTGTGTCATCCTCCCCGCCACCTACAAACAAACGCAAGCAAAGCCATCTTTTTTGCTTTTCTAGCTCGGCCTGCTCACCATCTCTGCGTCTGCCTCCCCAGAGAGCTCGTAAAACTCTCTGTGGCTGCCATCGGGGGACGAAACCTGCGGAACGAATGTAGAGCACAGGGCCTCGAGTGCTTCCAGTTGCGCCTTGGAGAACTTGTGGGCATAAGGAGGGCGGCCTCCTTGGAGCAAGGGATGAGCAAGCGTGGAAGTTGGCAGACCATCGAGGCTCGCAGCTGGGGGCGCCATGCTTCCTCACTCGACTTGATACAAACACAACTATAGCTACATTGCGATCGAGCTTCAAACATTTTAAAGTCCGAGATATTATTGGCGTGGTCCCTCGAAGATGGCAGTGCCGTGTTGCAGGAAAACAGCTCCCCACACCGGCCATGGATTTGTTTTGTTCGTCTCTAACAAGACTTGATTCAGTTTGGTGATAAGGTTGATGAGATGGAGACTAGAAATCTGCTGGGTTGGATGGTTTGTTTCTCTGTAAAGCTTGGAAACCATCGGATATCGTCCTGGCTTGCCAGAAAACACTGCTTTTTAGACACAGAAATAAGAAGAAGAAAACAATTTGTCCCCGTCGCCCCTCTTTTCCCATCATCTTCCTGGCGGATCTTCTGGATTTACGATCATGGCATACACCAAAGATTAAGATTTACTACGCTGCAAGTAGAAAAAGGAGCTGCGAATCGATCTATCCATGTTAGACAACAATTGTGAGAGATGTGAGGCAATGTACATGATCATCAACACTAAAGAGGTGAGTGAGTGAGTGACGAGCTAAAGAGTTAGGAGGCCTGAGCCGAGAGGATGGACTTAAACTCGAGAGTCTCACGCTGCTCTTCGTCAGCCGGAACGCCATTGTCTTCCGTCTCCACCTCCTGCTCTGGATCATCGCTTACGTCCTCCTCCTCGTGAGCTTCTTCAGTCGTGCCTTCCATGTCCACGTCCTTCAATCCCCGCATCTTCTCCCGGTACTGCTTTATCTCTTTCCGATACCGCTCCTTGTCCACGAGTCCACGCTCTTTGTAAGGCTGCCAGAGGGTGTCACTGATGTGAAAACCAAGAAAAAAAACGAGAGAGAAGAGAACTTTGTGCTGTTACCAGTCGCTGCTCGTCAGTTAGTTTGCTCCACGAATCTCCAATCATCCTGCTGATCTCCCGGTTGGGCTGCAACAGCCTTATCCGTGCTCTCTGCTCCGCAAAGAAGAAGTTGTAGGCACTCCGGTTGAGCTTTGGAGCGTTGGGATCCTTTTTTCTCAATCCCAGCCTCCTCCTCCTCTTGCGCCGGAGCTCTCCATCAGCATTCACGCACTCGGACAGCTGAGCTCCGTTGGAAGTCGGGAGCTTGGACGTGGTCGTGAACTGTGGCACGTACTCGCCGGGTGGGACGTTGTACAGGACGCCTTTGAGCGCCTCGCTGCCGACGGTGACACTGACGAGGTAGCCATGCTCGAACTTGCCAACGATTGATCCTGTCACGGTCTGACCGATACAGTTCGTGGTGGCATTCCCTGCGAGGAACAAAAAAAGATAACTTTGTTTAGAGCAACCAAAGTATTGTGAGTAAAGTTTTTGTTTTGCCTTTCTTCTACCTGGATCAGCAGCAGCATCTGCATCGCCTGGAGAGACAAGACCTGACTCCAAGTCAGTCAAAGGAAGGAAAAGAAAAGAAGAAAACGAGGCAAAAGGAATGAATGAATTCCGGATAGAGAAAGCTAACCGGGCGCAGATACGACAGCTCCCTGATTCCGGAAGAAGTAGACCTGCTCGTAGTGGTGGAGAAGGCTCGAGTAATACTTCCGAAGAACATACGACGCATTGGTGGTCGTCGGTGGGAAATGGAACACCGCTTTTATTTCCTTCCAGATCCTATCCTTGATCACCTGCGAGCAACGAGCGAAGTGAGTGCCTGTGCCAAAGAAACAAGAATTTCGCTCCACCAACCTGGTGCAATCCTCCGCGGGCCGTGACTTCCCTGTACAAGAGGTGCAAATCCAGCTGAGTTCCTCCAATTGTTGGTATCCTGAAGAAAAAGTTCCCATCCATCCATCAAACGGTCAAAGGAGTTCAATCGATCGATCGAGAAACCAAAGAGAAACCAAAAAGAGAGCGGGAGAGACAACCATAGTGTCTACTTACGTACGTCAATGACTTGAATCCCATGCTCCCGTGGAGCCTCCGGAGCGTGTCGAGGAAGAGCTCCTTGTCTCGCAAGACCTCCTCGTGAGAAGCTAGAGCTCGCGGGTAACCGGCCGAGAAGACTGGAGTGGCAGTGCTAGTCGTGCTAGTGGTGGTGGTGATCGAGGTGCATTTGTAGTTGTGGGGAGGAGACGCCATTTGTACCGTGATCAAAGGCGCGTCTTTGGTCTCGAACTTTGGAACAAGCCGCGAGTGTGAGAGGGGTGGCGGCTCTTGCGGGCGGAGGGACAGGAAGTCTCGGGGGAGATTGAGCATCTCCGAGGAGCGAGGCGGCGCGGTGGCGCTGGCGGCGGCCGCGGCTAGGAGCGCGTGGTGGACTTCCGAGCTTGTGGGAGCTTGTGCATGACCACCGTTGTTGTTGTTGCTGTGCTCTGGCGATGGAGAAGTGAGCGGAGGAGGAGGAGGAGTTTGCGGCGAGTGGTGGTGTTCGCTGGCGGCGGTGGTGGCGGTGGTGGCGGCAGCGTCAGCAAGCCCGGAGCTCTGGTGATCATCGGGCATCTTCTCTTTTCCCGAGAAGAGGAGACCAACAAGAATAAAGAAAGGGGGAGCCTTGCCCCCGGAAAAGAGGGCAACCCAAGACCGGCAGCCGCCACACTCAGCAGCCCAACACCTGGAACAGTCGAAAATTCCAGTCTAGGTGAGACAAGGCGACGGCGAGCAAGATACATGCAAGCCTAGCAAATGATGCTGCATGCAAATGCAAACCAGGCAGCACCATAGCCGAGCTCGCCCAATGTAGCTGGAAGAGCTGGAGCTAGAGCTATAAGCATGCTTGATTGATTGAGAATGAGAGAGAGCTAAACAAAGATGAAGAACAAGGAGGAGGAGGAGAACGTACCCTTGGTAAATTTTTTCCTTTTTTTTTTGGGATGTTCTTGCTTATGTGATGATCTCGCAACAAGGAACAAATGCCAGGCATTAACGATATGATATGGTACTACACAAACACCACCACCGGCGTGGTGTGTTTCTCGGCGTGAGTTTTTTCTTTTCTTCTTCTTTCTTTCTTTGCGCAAACCAGATTGAATGGCGGTGCCTGGGGTCCGGGCCGTCGGATCGCCGCCCGCATCGGACGGCGGCGGCGCCGGGGGCCTATTTTGGGGTTATTTGTTTTCGAGAAATAAATTGGGGGGATTTTCTTTTTTGGTCGTTCGTGTGATTAGGTGGCGTTACGAGGTCTGTTATGACATGACATGACATGCGGCGGGCCAAATTCCTCTCTTGCCGGGTATCGATCCCGGGACCTATCCTCAAGTCAACATTGAAGATCTCTTGTTTGCCTGCCACGAACACCGCAAAAACGCAGGCTTGGCCCATTTTCCTGGAGAGAAATGACGCTCTCGATCTCTCGCAAGTGTTAGAATGTGTGCTCCTCTAGTAATTCACCTCCTCGCTCGACAATCGCTCGTAGAATCTGTACAGGAGAGGGGACGTCGACATGCCCGGCTCCCTCTCCAGGCAGGCCACCAGGTCCCGGAGTATGATCGACCGAGCTCTGGTGGCTTGAGGTAGAGCAGAGCGCCGGGCATTCACTCGAGGCGTCGCAGCTATCAAGAAAGTTTGTCAGGAACGCATCATCGCTCGGAAACGAGCTTACCACCGAACTGCTGCTTGCCGGCAACTGGTGTTCCTGCGTTTCCCCAGCCATCTACAAGCTCACGAAGTATTCTTTTCCGCTTTCCAAACTTGCAAGAGCTTACCAGCAGCTGCTTGCTTTTGCTGTCTCTGTTCGGCCATTAGCATCCACTTGGAGAGCACGTCGTCGGCTCCCACAGCCTTGCGAGCTGCAATGTTTGCCGCCGTGGTTCTCAACTTGTCATCGTTTTGTTGTTGTGCCTGGCACACACTGGAAGCATCAGGAAAAAATAAATAAGCATACATGAGCGTGCTCACCTTTTGAGATTTTGGAGTTGATTCTTCAGTTGCTTGTGGTCCTTTCTCCTGCACGACACAAGTTAACTTGGGGCTTGGATCACTCAAAAGAGTGATGCATTAACCTCGTTGAGCTTGCGTAATCTCTCGGCTTCTTCGGCTTGCTTTCTTTGCCGAAATTCCCGTTGCTCTTTCCTCATGGCCGTGATTTGCTTCTGAAAATCTAGCGTCGCCATAACCCTGTGCCGTTCCTTTTCAACGTCGCATCTCTGGAAGCGGGGCAGTGAGACTTGAAAATGAAGTTTGCAAAACTGGTACCTGCTTGGACACTTTGATGGTTTTGAGAAGAAAGCCCCACAACAATTCCTCCGCACTCTGGATCACAAACTATAAGCTCAATTTTCACGACGGGGACGCTTACCATCGACAAGCAACGCTCCACGTCCTCACTGATGCTTTTGAGTCCATGTTTCGCGGCTGCAAGTAGAGGCACCAATGGCATCACCGATATGGCTCCAAAATCTTTATACCAATTTCTTGTACTTTAGTATGTAGTGGACCTTTCTCCAAGAAAAATCGGCCTTCCTCCTCCATAAACTTCCTTCGCATCTCAGGTGTAGTCCGGCTTTCTTCTCTCGGAGCAGTGAGCAAGCGCTCTTCTTCTTCCTGAAATCAAAAGAGTAAGAAAACCGAAACGCGAGCAAGAAAAGAAACTCTACTTTCAAGTTGACGCCACCAACAGCAGTTACATCGTTGATCTGCTCAAGGCTTTGGACCGGATCAGCCTTTTGTTTCTTACTGCAAAAGCTCGTGAGATCGAGCAAAAGGAGGGAAGAAAACAAATTTGGAACCTGGCTTGTCCGCCCGACGTCATGGCCATATCAGAAGCTTTCCTCACGAGCTGCTTTCGTTCTGGTGGAGTAAATGGTGGCTGCTGTGATGATCCATCACCAAGCGCTGGGGGTTGTTCTGGGTGTAGCGCCTGTGGAGGCTACATTGGCGACACAAAAATGAAAAAATTCGCGGGTCGATCGAGTAGAAATTCTCGTGCACCATACCCTCGAGTTCATCCGACTGAGAGCTTCCAGAATCACCTTCTCTCCCGCGACGACGCGAGCTCCCCTCACGAAATCCTCGCGGGAGATCTTCTCCTCCTGTGGTGTGGTGGAGGGCGATCAAGACAAGTGGAGCTAGAAAGCGGCGAAAGAACACACCTTCATCTTCGCATAGAGCGCCACGAGCTGGAGATTTTGCTCCGGCGCCACAAGCGTCTGGAGGAATGGCATGAGCGATCCGAACGAGACGCTCGTCTTCCGTGGCCCGGCACCGCCACCGCCGCCGCCACCGCCGCCACCACCAGTGCCGGCTCCATCACCTCCTCCCGCTTGCTGCGCCATCGCAGCCATAGCTCCTTCTTTGCCCTAAATATACAAAACTCTTAGACAGAATTAGGGTTCTTCCTTGGGAAGCGCTGATCTTCAGGTGGAGGAGCTCGAGCAGCCGCCGCAGATCCACCCCGCCCGTTGGCCGTGCCGCCCCATATCGTCCCCATGGCATTCGTCGCACATATCGCCATCGATGTCGAAGGGGAGCTCCTGGATGTTACCATCGCCGACGATGAGGATGTAGGCCATGACCGTGCGTGACGCCGGAGGTCCTCCCCAGCTCTCCACGCCGATCTCGAGATTCACCTCCATGGCCTCCGCTCTCGGTGCTCAGCTGGCTCCAATCGAAGATGCCCACGAATGGAACGATCGGCTCTCACGAATGCCTCTAGATCGCAAGAGAAGAACTACGTTACTGGTGCTGGCGTAGATTGATCCCCGGGCACGAAGGACGCGGCCCTCTCCACCGAGCGGAGGTAAAGCCCGGCCCCAAGCTCGGGTGGTAGAGCTTCTGGCTGGGCAAGCTCATGTCCACGACGTGCCGGTTTGTGAGAAACCCTCTCCAATCTTACTCGAGCAGTGAGCGTTCCATACGCTTACCACATCATCGCACCATAAGCATCAATCCTGGAAGAAGGATTGATCCTAGACGAGCAAGCAAGAATGCGAGCGAGGATCGATCCAAACGATCGAGAGGACCTTGATCCTGCGACAACCATTTCGCATGGACTTTGCGGGCCACGAAGACGATCACTACCGGGTCTCCACACCTCGTCCGGAATCCCACCGCGCTTCCCAGGCACCGCGAGAAATGAGGAGCTCGAACGCTGCCCTCCTCCTCCTCCATCCCTTGCAACTGGCGTCCCGGACGGTGCTCCGATGGCCACAGCACGAAGTTTGACGCGCTCCCTCTCGGCGCTGCGATGATCCATCTCTCTTTCGCAAAACCACTGATAAGTTAATCCCGGAACAAAGTGAACGCGTCGAGACAAGAGCTCAAGCTTCCCGATGAGACGAGTCACATTACGTACGTAAGCATGGACTCCTGTTAATGAAAGAATCACGACGGTAGCAGCAGCGGCGGCGGAAGCTTGCTTTTGTCTCGCGTGAGAAAGCCAAAGCCATGGAGGAAATGAAACAAGGTGGCGGGGGGAAAACTTACTCGATGCTACTGCCTGCTGTTGTTGTGCTCCATCTCGAAGGACAGGCATTCCACTCCCTTGAGTGCTGCCTCGTAGTTCTTGGTGTTAGATGTTGGGGTGCGATTCGCGAGCGTTCTCTTGGGCTCCAGCGCCCCCGGGAGGCCGACCTGGGAGCTCCGCAGGGCCGCCCGGACGAGAGCGCCCGGGGCCATCTTGTTGGAGGACATGATCCGGGACCCGTCCACCACTTCGCCGCCCGGCACGCTCGGCCTCGGGTTTGGGGTCGAGCTTGTGACCACGGCTCTTCTCGACGTGCTCCCGCCTCGAACGAAAGAGGACGAGTGTGTGCGGTCGACGTCTCCCAAGTCTCCCTGCACAACCTGAAAACAAAGATGTTTTTGCTGTCACAAACTACGGAAAATGCTCACCGCTACGTCGCTCCTCTGCTTGGGTGTTTCTACAGCACCACCGCTAAGCCCAGACAACCGGCGTCGTGCGGCCTCGTTTGAGTCGTTCCGCTCCTGAGCACCTGCAAACATAGGGGCCACAAGCTGAGAGGTCGTTCCAATGAAGTAGATACCTGCGTATGGACTAGCACCGGAGCCACTTGTTCCTCCGAGGTTAGGCTGCTACAAGGAAAGCTGGTTAGGAACGAGAGTTTTCCATCCAGATGCTGTATTCTATTTACCAATGCTCGCATTTGCGACTGCTGATATTTCAAGAGTGTCCAGTCAAAAACGTAATCGAATTGGAATCCTAGACACAGTTGAAAAAAGTGAGTTTCCAAGAAGCTAGCTTAGATATATTTACCTTCGCGGATAAAAAGGTCGCGAAAAATTCGTTTCAGATACGAGTAGTCTGGCTTGTCATCAAAACGCAGACACCGGCAGTAGTGGAAGTAAGATGCAAACTCTGGCGGATAACCCTTGCAAAGAGTCTTCACACAAAACCAAAAGAGAAAGTTTGAATACATGGAACTTCCAACACAGAACACATACCTCGATTGGCGTCGCTATTTTCTTCTCGCTTATCTTCTCGTACTTTTGCTTCTTAGTAGCTGCCTTCAGCCCTTGCCAAGGTAGGCTGCACATTGAGTTAGCGATCATCCGATCAGTGTTGCCACTATGCTCACCTTCCTCTTAAGAAATACATAAGAACGTAACCAAGAGATTCCAAATCGTCCCTTCGACTTTGTTCTGGGATGCACTTGTAAGCTTTCATAGCACAGAACACAAGGAAATCAATCTCTGTACGTACCAATCCCAAGGTGAGTGTTGATACTAGCATAGCGAGCTGTTCCTGTCAGATTCTTATTTTCCCTGCGAGACACGAGAACACAAAAGAACACTTGCTTTCAGTTCCAGAAGAGAAAAGCTTACTTATACGGGATGTGTTGGTAAGTCGTCGGATCACGGTATTTTTTGGCCAGCCCGAAGTCAATAATGTAGACCTGACGGCTCTAAACAGGTTACAACCAGTTTTCTCCGAAATATGATCAGCTAACCTGGTTTGCTCTTCGGCCAAGGCCCATCAAGAAGTTATCTGGCTTGATGTCTCTGTGGATAAAACTCTTGGCATGGACTAACTCAACTCGATTGACCTGAACGAAGAAGCAGCTTGTAAGCTTTCGAAGAGAAAGAGTTCTTCTCACCAGCTGATCGGCCAACATGAGCACCGTCTTGAGAGAAAACTTGCGGCCACAAAAATTGAAGAGATCTTCGAGACTGGGGCCGAGCAATTCAATCACCATAACGTTGAAGTCGCCCTCCACTCCATACCATCTAATGTTGGGTATTCCAGCTGCCGGAACAACAGCACATACGCAAATCAGCCTGGAAAAATCCCTCCTCCCCTTTCCTCTCAGGAAAAACTCTTACTTCCTCCTTGTAGAATCCTGTACAGCTTCGACTCATACAGCAGTTGTGGGTGCTTCGTTTTCACGTTTTCCTGGAGCACAAGAACACATTAGAGCCCCGCATTCGCAGTAGCAACGAGAGAAACGCACCAATTTGATAGCAACCTCCTCATTCGTCTGTGTGTGCACTCCTGCAGAGCAAGGAGAAATCATCACTCGCAACTCTCAAGCACAAACCACAGCACTCACCGTGGTAAATCTCGCCGAATGAGCCGCTCCCAATCTTGCGGCCAAGCCTGAATTTGTTCCCTACACGCCGCTCCATGGCTCACTGGATTGGGGGAGAATCTGGCCACAGGAGATCTCCCTAGCGCCTTACAAGCATGATTCCGCGCCGCTGCTGCTGCGCTGCTGCTACGCCATCGCCATCGCGGCGTTCCCAATACGCGCACCCTAGCGCCGCGGCCACAGCGCCTCCCCTATCAAACCCTCGTTCTTGCGCAGTCACCCACCATAGCCAACCATTCCCCTTTCCGTACCCCTCCCGGATGCACGGCGTACGGCCGCGTGTCCTACATTGTTTTGTTTATTTTACTATAGAGGATGTTCTAAAAGCGAGCGAGAAGAGAAGTGGATAGTTCGTCCACCCTCGCCGGCGCGATGGCGGCATCGTCCTCCTCGGGATCGAGCAGCGGCCGCCGCAAGGTGAGAGTGATCCAGAGGCGGCACAGGCTCGTCTACGAGATTTTGGATTGCGGGGTTCGTGGAGGGATCGTGCTCGCGCTGCTGCTCCTGGTTGTAGGTATGGCGATCTACAGCTGGAGCGCCGACCCAATCGTCTCGATGCCGGGAATGCCGATGATTCGCCGCGGCGCCCGCGATCTCAGTCCCTCGAGGGTGCAATTGGAAGCGGTGATGGACATAAGCACCAAGGAGCTCTACGACGCCATAGCCTTCGAGAACAAGGACGGTGGCGCGTGGACGCAGGGATGGGCAGTGAAGTACCGCGGTGACGAGTGGAATCGCGAGAAGCTCAAGGTGTTTGTGGTGCCTCACTCTCACAACGATCCAGGGTGGCTTCGCACGGTGGAGGAGTACTACCAGGAGCGCACGAAACACATACTTTCGACTGTGGTTGGAGCTCTTCGCAAGGTACTCGAGCTTCACACTTTTAGTTCTACCTAGACAAACTTTGAGCATCAAACTTTTAGTTTTAGAAAAACTTCCCTGATCGTCTCCTCTCGTGCTCAGGATCCTCGACGTAAGTTCATCTGGGAGGAGATGTCCTACCTCCATCGCTGGTGGCAAGACGCCTCGGACTCGGAGAAGCAGGATTTCATCCGCCTAGTCAAGAGTGGACAGCTCGAAGTTGTGGGAGGAGGCTGGGTGATGAACGACGAGGTACGAGAGCTAAGAACTAAGAACGTAAATCATCTAAGAACTTGTAAGAACTTGCTCTCCAGGCGAACTCACACCATTTCGCGATCATCGAACAGGTACGTACAAGCAAGCATCCAAACTTTTGGCACTCGGTAGTAACCTCGGTCATGGCTTCCAGATAACCGCAGGGAACCTCTGGCTTCGTGATACCATCGGGGTCACTCCAAGGAACGCTTGGGCGATTGATCCATTCGGTCACTCGGCCACCATGGCGTATCTCTTGCGGAGAATGGGATTCGCCAACATGCTTATCCAGCGAACACACTACGAGGTAAAGAAGGAGCTCGCTCAGCGGCAAAGCCTCGAGTTCATGTGGAGACAAGGCTGGGATTCCGCAAACTCCACCGCCATCTTTTGCCACATGATGCCGTTCTATTCTTACGACATTCCTCACACCTGCGGCCCGGAGCCGGCTGTGTGCTGCCAGTTCGACTACTGGAGGCTTGTGAGAGTTGGACAGGCACAGCGGTGTCCCTGGGGATACAATCCGGAAGAGATCAACGAAGGAAACGTGAGGGAGCGAGCGATGCTGCTGCTCGATCAGTACAGGAAGAAGTCGACGCTGTATCGAAGCAACACTTTGCTGGTGCCGCTGGGTGACGACTTCCGGTACGTGACCCCGCAGGAGGCCGAGCTCCAGTTCACGAACTACCAGGTCATCTTCGACTATATCAGCGCTCACCCGGAGCT